TAGCTGACCAGGGATTAGCGTCAGCTTAATCAGACCCTCGAGCAACGGGAATTTAACCAAGTGTTAGTTAACCCATGGGTAGCAAATTTAACCAACCGTTACCAACTAACATATGGTTAAATTAACCATCTTTCGAGCAACCAGGGGCCGGATATTTTGTGTAAATGGCGAGCACCCGAGGTCACAAACGACTAATGGAATAAAATAAAATTAGTCATAACAAAAGCTTCTCAAAGTATGCAATGCTTTATCCCTTTCGACTGCGACCAGGCTCAGTAATGGAGAAAAAGGCAAAAAAAAGGAGTGAACAGCACAAAAAAAAAATCGGCCAGCAAAGGGAGAAGATTGGTGGAGCCTGGTCCTAGGCTATTTCCTTTTATATTTATCTAAATAATAGACTACTAAAACTCACGTGAATGCAACCTTTGAATTAATGACAACTGCTGTTTCCGCTGGGTCTTCCTCTGCTGTTATTGAGTGTTATTGCAAAATCCATCAGCTTGGTTTATGAGAAATTACGATGTAGAGTTGTTATAAATTGCGACAATGTTATTCAGTACAGTTTAAGACAGAACAGTCGACAAATCGGAGAGATTTTTAAAAAAAGCGACTGGTCAATGAGAGTGTTAGCTCGGTACCAATCCTCTTATTATCCATCATAAATCAAAATGGCGTCTGACACACCATTCAAGACAAGAATTTTCTCGACACACATCAGATAAATCTAGGATGGTCGACAAACAGCAATATCCCCGATGGCTGGGATTTTTCAGATATTTAATAACCAGTTCTATTTATAAAAGCATGTAAAAACGCATTTCAATGTACGGTTGCTATTCAAGGAATCTACAATACAATAATTATTTATACCAGGTTGCAAACATAAGAACCTAGCTACATTTCTCGTTTTCAACGAGCGGGTTCTTGGCAAAAGCCTTCTAAATGAATGAATCGGGTAACCTTTCTAGCCAATCACCTTTTCCTTTATTTCTTCAAGCCACAAAATATTGAATGGTTCATTACAGTGACGTCCAATGCAAAATCAAGATTTCAAACCCGAGTATTTCAAAGCAAAAACATTTATCTGCGGTCGTTCGTGCGTTTGTTTTTTGGCGTGATAACTGGTCAAATCGTTTGCTATGTATTTTCTTTAAAACATAGGTATTGTAATTAATTATTTGTACCCACCTTGCACCTTCTATAGCTTCTGGGGAAAAAAAAGCAGGATGTTAGCAATTGGACCGGTAATTTCAGTGTATGAAGTCAAGATTTATATCGTCGTTAACAGCATGGCCGAGAGGCGGAAGGGTTTGTAAAGTCGTCACTTCTTGTTTACCCAAGCGACTTATTTATTCATAACTCACGAAAATATCAAAACAAAAACCTTATGCGGTAAAAAAGACTGCTTGGTGATGGGTTCCTAGGGTAAAATCCATAAATTTTAATGGCAAAAAAAAAGACAGCATTAATGTAGCATCCTGGACAACGAAGCTTTTTACTTAGAAGCCGCCGTGTGTCTGTTACAATGTTGGTGTAAAACATGAATTAATCGTTCAAGTGCACTTCACTTTAATGTTATCCAACACGTTCGTTTTCTCATTTTATTTTTGGCGGGCCAAAATCAAATAAAAATAAATAACGAAAGAATGTTTTTCAACAAAGGAGCTAGTTTAAACTGCTCAATACGTACACCAGCGATGTTATTGTCTTCTGTAATTCAGTGCGGGTATGGTGACATTTAAAGGGCGTCACACTAACAGAAGAACGGCGAAAGCTAAGGTCAGCTGGGGTGAACCATAGCTTAAAACGAAATGCACTGAATGTCAAGAAATTCTTACAAAATGCCTAAATTAAAGTGCCTATCCGTTGTATAATATCCAAAAGCCATATGAATTATAAAATAATCAATAATTTATCAATTATCCATTGAAAAGAAATGGAAATGAAATTGTGGTTTAAACGGAAAGGTAAATAGTTTGACAAGATAAAATAGACTGGGTTAGTTGGTTCCGTAAGAAAGGATAGGCAAAGGAAAGAGCACTGTTTCCTGGCCCGACATGGATCAAAGTAAAGGCGGGGTACGGGGCTGTTTACCGTTTACAAAAAGTTTCCGGAAAATCCGGTTTGAAAATAAACACGACTTTTTGGTTCAATTCAGCTGAAAATTTCCGGGAACAACGGAACATCTGAAAAGGTAGTCCTGTATTTCCGGACGAAATGTTCCAAACGGAGATTCGAGTTTCGTTGGAACCCGGTAAAAAATGGTAAATGGTAAAACGCGATTCCGGGACGAAATTTACTAGTCCTGAATTTTGCCTATCATTTCCCCAAATTCGGCAAACTGTGAACCGTACACGTTTGCCCATGTAAATGCCGGATTTTTGAACAGTTTCAGTTCCCGGGACAAAAAAAAGAAGCCATTATTACAACTAAAAGTACAACCATTGTATGTGATCTATATCTGATGTTATACACTCGAAATAAAATAAAGCCATTGAAAGACTACTTCTCTTAGCCACTTTTAATTAAAAGCTAATATCAAAATTTTAACTTCTCATTTGTTGTTCCTACACGTTTCCTATAGAATCATGGGGAGAAATCAAGGATCAGTTAAATTCGTCGCGTGTGATCATTTCCTTAATTCTCGTGACCACTCCGTTTTACAGTCAAAAATTGACATCACGAGGAGAAATTTGATTTTGATCACTCTTAAGGTAAGGGATGATACGCTGCGCCTATAGAGAAGCCAATTGTCACGCCAAGCGGTTAAAACTACTTGTGGCAGCACGACTTCTTGTTAAAAACTAGGCAGCAAAACTCCTTGCTAAGTTTCTTTTCTCTTATAAAGACGATTTACCCGAGAGTTTCAACCAAAGCACTCCCTACTGAGGCAAAAAGTCCACTTACGGTTGACGTCCGTCGCTCAAAAACGCTGTTGCTTGAGCTCCCTAATGCCTTAGATAGGTATCCGCCTTATACAAAGTGAAGGAAATAGCTGAAGAACTGAAGACACTATCTCAAGGTTTTCCCTTTAACGGGGTTTCAAACTTGGAGAGGAATAAAATTGTTTTAAAAACATTTTGCACATGAACCAAGTGACCCATCAGGCCGTCCGGTCCGACGAACAACAACGCGAGTCTCGACGACAGTCTCGACTGTAAAGCTGGAACCCAGACCTCCACATCCAAAGTTCGAGGTGTTAACCGCTCAGCTACAACGCTGCCCTCGGGCTTGAGAAGCAACAACAACAACAATAAGCTTTATTTGCATGACCATAACAAAGTATTACAGTATTGCAAAAGCTACTTGAAATTAATCATTTATTCCTTGCAAATTAAATATTTAAAATAATTTGAAACGTATTAATCATTGTTTATTTCTAACCATCAGTAGGATTAATTATTCCGGAGATAAGTTTGTCTCTCAATTCAAAGCAAGTTGATACAAATGAAATTAATTGGATGTTAATAAAAAAGGCAGTAGAATTCATCAGATGTGATAATAAGGACTCATGTGATTGTAGTCGTGGAAACGGTATTTTAGGTTCTAGTTTAGACAAGAATATATCTCTTATCGAAGAAAAACTTGGACAATCTAATAAAAAGTGAGTTTCGTCTTCAATCCTGTTACAATTGCAGAGATTGCATAACCTTTCGTCACGTGGTATATTGTCCGTATCTACCTCTCTCAATCCTAAGTTTGTGACTGCTTATTCTCAGTTTCACTAATGTTTTCCTAGAAGGGTTCTTTCTTGTTAGATCTGGGTAGGCAGAAGGGCTATAATTCGTTTTGATCTTATAATAAAAGTTAAGTTTTTGTGAATGTTGAAGGGTATGATTCCAGTAAGAGATATATTTCTTTTGCATAAGATCTACATATTGCTTAATTTTACATTTACAGTGAAACCTGTATTAACCGGACACCCTCGGGGAATGCGGTAGTGTCCGCTTAATACAGGGTGTCCGCCTAATACAGGTTTTGATAGATAACGTCATATGAGGTGTCAAATGCCATTCAAATGAACAATGGAAACGTTTAGAATACTCGCAGAGACTGTGACGATGTACGTTTTCCATTAATTTCTTTATCAAAGTGGATCAATTGATCATAGTACCATAAACATAGATTGCAACTCAAATTTGAAGAAATCAGACGAGTGAACAAGCTCTATACAAACAAAACGAAATAGAAAACAATACTGTGCTGTGAAACTAATCAAATAAGCTCGCCAAGTCATGTTTTTTAATGTGAAATCGAAAAATTTGAGGGTGGCAATTCGAGGCAGTCTTTCGCATTTCCGGCGTCTAGCGTGTTGGGTGGTGGAATTTAATTACAAGTGTCCGTTTAATACAGGTTGGCAACAATAGAAATGACCATTTCAGGTACTTTTTAAGTGTCCGCGTCCGCTTAATAGAGGTGTCCGCTTTATAAAGGTTTCATTTAAAGTAAATAAGGGAAATAAATTTGGGGACTTCGGCTAGTGTCCGCTTAATAGAGGGTGTCCGCTGAATACGGTGTCCGCCTAATACAGGTTTCACTGTATTCAGTAAATATTAATTATTATCATATAGACGCGAGTGTTTTACTGGAAAATATACCACTCGTAAAATTCATAAAAACTACATCCGGGACCCAAGTGGGTTATTTTCCATAATCTCACACGTGAGTTTATCGATGACGTAATTTCGGTCATTTCCCTCTATTATTTTATCAATGTCTTTTTGTCTATATAATAAAAAGAACATAACACGGCGGCTTGAAGATATGAATTTTATTTTCGAGTGGCAAAACAATATTTTACGAACGAGCGCAGCGAGTGAGTAAAATATTGTTTTTGCCACGAGAAAATAAAATTCATATCTTCGCGCCACCGTGTTATGTCCTCTATGTATTCAGAAGCTCTCTGGTAAAGAAAGTTGACTTCGTCGAGTGTAATGTTGTCGTCGTTCTTCTTTAAGCATAAGTCGGTTGAAAAAGATAGTTTCACATACCTCTTTCCGTTACAAAACCGTAACCTTTTCAACAATATCGACATTCTCTAGCGACATCATATCCCTTAAATCCTCTCGACTATTTTTTGTATCTTGAACACAATACGACAAAAACAAAATACAGCCAGCTAGGAGGAGAAACGATCCTGCGACGTAGAACGTCAGGTTATATGTACCAGATAAGTCGGCAAGAAATCCTACAAGAGAAAAACAAAGACTTCAAATTATTCTCCTTGAAACAACTTGTCCAAAGGACTAAGCCCTGAACTGGGCGGCATGAACGGGCAGGGGTAACACTGTCTTGTCTCATGATCAAACAGCCATTTTTTATCTTCCAGTAGCGATCCAAGGTTGGCACTGCTGAAAAGCTGGGCAGCACTGACAGAATAGAGAAAACGGCAAACGTCAGATTCAAGTTGAGAATTTCTCAACATAGAAAATGAACAGATAAAAACAGCTCAAAAGAATTCTTATGGATAAAAAATTGCGTGAATCTACTAATTTATCTCTAGAAATAATGAACAGTAAACGACAAGTAATGGGGAAACTTGGTCACGTGGTACATCTTCGCGTTTGCTGTTTGACGTTTGACGTAAATGTGATGCTTCTTCTCTCTAATAACACTCCCGTTACTTTAAAAGGGATTTTTTTTTCAATATGGCGCTTGCGCGAGCAAAAACATTCGCGCGCCCGAAGGAATCGCCTCCACTGCAGGCAAATAGACGGGTGAAGATAACACATTCTTGGAGACCCAGGTTCAGCTAATGGGTACTAGATATACTAAGGCTATTCAATGGAATAAGCTGGTTTGCATTTGTTTTGATTCAGGCCTAAATAAAGCTTACAAATCGGTCGTTTGTTTTTCTCACTCGGTTGTAGGCGACTGTAGCTCGCTGTCGCTTCTTTGGAACAACTTCGTATTTTCACATCCATCTAATTGCTTGGTTTATTTACTAATCCCCAATTCTTTTGCCAAGGCCCTATCTTCTTGTTCTAAACATAGGCAAACTCCTGCGTTGTATTCCTCTTCGCACAAACGTTAGTAAAATAAATATTAAGGTGGAGCAGATTCGGACGTTTTCAAGTTTTGGGTTAAAGACATAAGTTGATTTTAACAAGCAAACAGTCTGTCTCATGTGGGAGCTCCGCCGTTAGGCCTAGCTGGATTTATGTTTCAGTCATGTACGTGTAGTTCCGCTTTTAAAATCGTAACCAATACTCAGGGTCTTAAAGTAACTGAGAAATGAAGGCACTCCCTTTGCACAGCAAGCGGTTAGACCTTCTCGTGGCTCGGATGACCACGTAAAATGGCGGTCCCAGACGTAAAAATAGTGTCCCCAATTAGAACTTTCGTGCTAAATACATTGACAATCAAATAAAGTTCTGTTTTTTTAACCCATAAATACACTGTACCTCCAAAAGGTGGTCCGCTAGCCAGTGAAAGTCCGACACAAAATTGGAAGAAGCCAAAACCTTGAGCCCTCTCTTCTGGTGAGACTGTAAACAGGGCCAAGATACAGACAGAAGAAGTGGCAGCGCCATCCATCATCCCAAAGAAAATAAAACACACAAGCAACTCGTAGTAGGAGTGAAACAGTGTCACAAGTACTGCGATGAGACCCGCAAGAAACAGAGATATCTGAAAGATCCATCTCGGCTGAATTCTTGTTGTATCACACACATAACCTGTCAGAACCCTCGATACTGCTGATGCCACCCCATTGAATAAGTACATCACAAACGGTTGGTTTGCGTCTAATCCACGTTCTTGACAATAACGAGCCTGAATAAGAAAGAAAGAAAGAAAGAAAATCGAACAAAGCAATGAAACAAGTTACAAAATACATTAAAAACTCGCGTGTAAGAACCTGCTGGCTGAGATTAGCCGTTTTAATACCCCCAAAAATAAGAAAATGTTTAGTCAAGCAAGATCAAGCAGGTTCTGTTCAATGTGGGTTACAGTTAATAAACGATGATGAACATTTTAACCAAGGAGTTTGACTTTGAGATTGTAAAGTTGTATTGCCAGATAATTTTTTATTTACTAACTTTATTTATTTATTCATTTATTGTATTTGTTTTTTTATTCTTCAATTTTTGATTTAGAGATAGCACTTATTATTCATTATTCATTGTTATTATTATTTATTATTCATTATTCTCAGTTTCTGATTGGCTAAAATGACATACATAACTGATTCATCATAACCAGCTACTGTTGACCAAATTTGGAGGAGTTTTGCCATATTGAACCGATGACGTGAAAAGAGCAGCAAAGTTACAGATTATTGAACCCTTAACCAAGAAGACCTGGGGACGAGTTTGAGTTGTTTTCGAAGTGAGTAATGGCGTAATATTTTACTCGTTTCAAGGCGAACTATTGTCTAAAAACATAACAAGACTCGACGGACGACATCTGCTATTTACAGTATATTTGCAGACCTGAACTTCCTAAACTTCCCGATAAAGATGCACTATCGATATGAACTTAACATCGATCGACGGAGGTAAGCATGTTTTAGCTTGTTTTTAAACTTGTAATTTGGGTAAACTGCACACCTAGCCCTATCCTTACCCACACGTTGACACTAATTTCCCACTTGGATGAGGGCTAAGTGGGCAGGATTCCCCTTCCCCCCCGAAAAAGAAAATATGACCATGCGAGTACTTACCATATGAACATTGGGAACGGTCATGCCACAGAAACAAATGACGCCAGCGATCACGTATATAACAAACTCCTTATTTTTCAAGTAGGAAAAGGTTAATGTTGAACATAGTTGAGATGAACTAACTCGCCCAGCAGTCGCCAAAGCTACTAGGGATGACCTGACTTCACAGTTTTTATCTGCTGACGTATTAATCTGGCACTTATCGTTTGCAATGTTTGTACCAAATGAACAGGGTAGTAAGCAAGTTACAAACGTTATTCCCGCCATGATTATTAAGGTCATTCTCCATGATGTGGTGGCGTTTAACAGGGTTTGAATGATGGGGCTCATAACAAATAATCCTGCGCCAGGCCCCATGATAACAAATCCCGTCGCTAAAGCGCGCCTTTTGAGGAAGTACTTGGGCATTATTGTAACGGAAACGAAATATAAACAGCAGCAGCCGAAACCAAATGCTAGACCAAACGTGAAGTACATCAGCGTCAAATTAGGCGCTTGGGACGTCACAAGGAGACTCAAACATGATAAAATACCTCCACTTATTGCAACTTTGCGATGGCTGAATCGATCACAAAGAAGTCCAACAAGCGGCCCAAAGAGACTACCGGATGCATAAGCCAGAGAACCTACCCAAGCTACAGAGATAAAAACAGAAAATAAAGAAATGAAGATGAATAGATCAGTTATCGTGATTTGTTTTTTGCTGCTGGTTTAATGAGCTTTTTCAACTATACGCGGAATGTGACAGGTCCATGCAGTAGCGATTGAAGATTAAGTATGTATTCGTCCTGCAAACTTCAAAAACTAGTGGCGGAAATATCAAACAGATGTCGATCCTAAAAAAACCAGCTGCACTTGACAGGGTGTGAATATTTATTTATTTAATTATTTATTTCCGAGTGTAATGTAACAATAAGGGAGATTCTCTTGTTATATCTTTTAGGGGGTTAATCACGTGGATTGAAGGTGCTTATGGTGCGAAAATTCGAATTGAACGTCATTATTTGTTGCCGTTCCGTTAGTAGGTGTATTGGGTAAAAACGGAAGGTAACTATTTCCAATTCAGCTTTATCGCTATTAAAAATTGTCAGAGCTAAAAACTCAAATACTGAGGTCGGCCTTCTTGAGTACAAAAAGTGTCCTTTTTTTCTAGGTTTCTCAACTAGTGTGTTCATGTGGTGGGGAGGGGGGGGGGGGAAGGGAGTACTAAAACGAAATCCTAGGTTATTAGAATACACAGTACACAGTACATGCCCACAGTACGGCGAGTGCTCAAGTTTCTTGGCTTATAACGAATGAACAACGTACCCGTCTTGGCTTTTCCTTCTTTAAACTCGGCTAAAAGCACCGGAAAGAGAATACCATAGGAAAATGCACAACCCGTCGGTAGTAAAATGCAAATAAAACCACAGAGGCAGACAAAGTAAGCGTATGGTCCGTCCTTTTGTCCCTTGGGGCTTAAGTTCTTCAACGCCCACCATTTCGAGCGACACTGTTGATGTTGGGTGTCCTGTGTCACCGGATGATATTGTTCTTGTTGAAACTCCATCTTTGCTTGTGAAAGACCCCTGAAGTGCGAGAAATCTATTTCTGTTAGTTGTTCGAGGCTTTTATTCCAATTTTTAAAACCTTTTCATCTCGCAGAAAATCAGTTTCAACTAAAGAAGTTGTAGAAAAAATAAAAAAAAATTGTACCGACTTCAGGAGGTCATTAGAATTATTTCGTGGTTTGAAACAGAATAAAAATGAACGTTACCATTGCCATGCGATCAAAGCGAAAATGAATGAATGAATGAATGAATGAGTTCATCCATCCATCCATCAATCAATGAATACATTGTGGATGTTTACCAATGTGATGGGAAGTTTCTAGCTAATAAGCGCGTACGGGAACGAACACGGACGAACTGGACACTTCAGGGGAAACTAACTCTGAGCGACTACTCTTGCAGCGAGAACAAGGCTGGTCACAGCATTAACAAACAGGATCTCACTAACTTACAGTGGCTAAGAGCAGCAAATACTCCAGACTTCCCAAACCAGCCCAAAACCTTGTTGTGATGTTCTTTAAACGGAGTTATTTTTAAGGTCTCTGTCATCTTTTAAGTTTCGTTTTTGTTCCAATTAGTGGGCCAAATTAAGCGATTTTAGTTTTTCATTGGTTTGAAGCTTCTTGCCGATCGTAACCATGTCGGTCCAGACTGCAGTAATACCAAAACATTACCTACCCCAACACTTGCTCCTTTCGTATATTTCGGACTTGTTAAGGTGATGTTATACGGAACGATTGCTGACGATTCGCAACGGCGATTTTTAGCGCAGAACAGCGTTGCAATATTGGAGCGATGTTACAACCATTCGACGCAATTGTCGCAACAATCTCGTGTAACATCACCTTTGGTAAGAGAAGAAGAGAAGATTTAGAAAGTTAGGAGTTTGTAAGTGAAGGAGTTTTAAGTCTTGAAAGAAGATAAAGAAGAATAAAAAAAGCAAAGTAGACCAAGATGTAAAAAGTAGACTCCCGGTACTTTCTCGTGAGGAGAGCGAGTTGCTCGAACACACCACGACAACCTTTAAATTTGCTCACACGAGAACTATTTAAATAGGATAAGAACATAACCAATGCAACTAATCATTAGAGGGCACTTGCTTTTGTAGTACATTGTACACTATTCACTTTTACGAAAGGTACAACTGCCTGGCTCGCGATCATTTGTAGAAACAATACTCGGGTCCTTTTACGCAGCATTTTACCTTGCACAAGCTCAGTGAGTGACAGTTTAGAAAAACTCCCCACTTAAAAGGAATCTAAGGACGGAAAAATTTCGAGTTCAGACAACTGGGCTAATGGTAAACTTTTTTAATTTGTAGTGATACTACGCATTTGCATTTTCTGGATCTCATGCCGCAGCTTTGGTTCTTCTCGGCGCAGGCTTCTAGAGTCTTCGAAACTAGTATATCACATGAAATAGTGCGCTTAATTGGCACTGTATTATTTGAGTGTTACAATAGTTAAAGTAAGCTGCACTAGAGATTGCTAATCATAGATCAATCAGTTTCGTGAGTGCTTAGTCACCCGTGAGAGATCAAATTAAATCAGAAGCCATTTTGGACTTTTACATGTATTACGATATGGGATATCTGATTATCTGATTCAGTATCCCATGACAAACTACGGACCAAGACATAATTCAGAGCGACCAGTGTTTTGATATACGAAAATTCATACTTGACCCCCGAGGCTTGGGGAAATAAGACAAAAAAAATGTATTATTCATTACTGATCCTCAAGATAATTTCTTTTGTTTTATTCCCCAATGAGCCAAGTATGAATTTTAATATATTGAAATTGTATTGCAAGTTTTGACATTTTAAAGTTATTTGTCAAGGGAAAATGAATTATTCTTCGATGGAATGTGTTAAAATAATAAAGGCATGTTTGAATCAACTCCCTAACTGATCAGTTTTTAATTAATAGTTGAAATCCACTAGATATCAAAGCGCTCAAGACTTGAACACCCCACTCCCTTCCCCCCACAACCGTGACATGATGTGATGCGCCGAAAGTTTGAACTTCTTAACAGTATATTCGGCGAGACGTCTGATAAGACAGGGTGTAATATTTCGCAAGTACGTCGGCATCACGAGTGAAAACAGAGTTATATCTAATAGGGGGTATTTCAAAAATGGTCTTTCTTCTGAAACAAGCAATCATATTGCTGACGCATTGGTCGCCATCGAAAACGTCGGGCGGCATGCATCACAAACCAAAACAGCGAACCTCCGGTCTACACGATAACCTCCCTCGCCTCTCGTAGATTATATTGGACATGAATTTTATTCTTCTGATGTCTTTGCTCCTTAAGAGTTTTCAAAGATTTAAGTTACAGCCCGAGTCTATTAATAGGCTCCTGGCTACTGTTGTCCACCATTAATACGGTTACCGTCCTTCAAAAATCTTTTTATTATAAAAAACTCCAGTCGAGCGGCGATAGACATCTCTGAAATTCCCTCCATTAGCCTGACTGAATCCACCTGAATTCCTTAGCTAACTGTATCAAAGCCAGAGAAAGGTATAAAACTCATTTCGATATCGTGGAGATTCAAAATAAACTTACCTACCTTGCAGTGGAGAGACACAAATATTCGCCTTTGGTGCGATGCTGAATTGTACTTTAGATTTTTGCAAGATCGATTCGTACTCTAGCAACCGGAAATTAAGGTCACTGTTGAGGCAGACACATGGAAGATAATCCGAACTCATTCGAATGAATCACCTTTCGTCCGACTCACATGTACCTATGCAACCTGTTCATAGGCCCTCTATTTTCTCCTCAGAGATCAGGCTAACAAATACTTATAGGAACAGATTACTCTGCATGTGCGCTAAACCGCTACAGCCCTTGAAACTCCAGAACGAAAAATACATATTAGCAAAATTCTGTGACGGAATTCTTGCGTTACGTAACAGGAACATTTGAATTTGAATTAATTTTGTGGGACCTTGAACTATGAAATGAAACTCTTACCTATATATTAGGTATCTAAACCGGCATTTTGACTGACAAGTGTCAAGACAAAAGAGCCTTAAAATACTGCTGTTGCTAATTGCAGAGAATAACCTGTGTTGTGGTGAATAAATCAGGCAGATGGGTGGGGCTGGTGGTGTGGAATTTTCCAGACTCTATAATCTGGGATTGAGTAAAGTTTTCAATATTTTACGTATCGTCCACAAGCTATCCTTCATAAAACTAAAAGTGTTGCCAATTATTGACCAATTAATTAGAAACATAACCCGCTTTATTTTGTTTCACGAGATTAAGATAATATTTGATCTTATCTGAAGTCGCCTAAGATGTCAACAACATTTAAGTCACACCTTCCTTTTATAACCGAAAATTTATGAAAATTTCAGCTGACATCAGGAAATGTCGGGGGAGGTATATAAGGCGAACACGGGAGGGGAAGGTCAGTAGAGGTAAATTTCGGTCCTTAGACCGAAATTTAAAAAAAATTACACAAGCTTGTAGAAGTAAGAAAACTGAATAATCAGACGATTTCGATTGAATTAGTCCGGCGTTGTTCCAACACATGAAAAACTAGGTCCGCTCTGCGTACATGTGTCTAATGCGAATTTATATCATTAAAAAATGTTGGCCTAAAGTCCGCGAACATATTTCAAAAATAAAGTTCCGTGGGGTTTTTGTGAAAAGAGCAAGCCACCTATCTAGATGTGTCAAGGGGACTCTAAGGGACATAAAAAATGTTGTCGGCATAAATAAATGGAAAGAGTTAGTTTAGTCGCTGCTCTGTTGCTCTTGTTGGAGTACCTTTTTTCTGTTTTCAAATTGTATTCAAATTGCTATTACGGCTCTTGATTGTGCCTATCTGTTTCTGTGAATAGCCACTCCATCTACGGTATCTTTTTGAAAATTGTCTTTAGAAGAATTGGTTCTGGGTAGCCGGAGCTTTGCCTTTGCCTTTGATGATGTCGTTCTTCACCACTAACTCTTGGGCGGCAAGATGAGAAATGTGTATTCTGAAATAATCCAGATGGCCTGAAATGTGTTCCTAGATCCGAGAATTAACATGTTTTAACACTTTTGCCCTTTGAACACAATTATAATTTAATTTTATTAGCATGATGATTATTTGCTAGTTCAATGATTAACAATTATTGGACGAGGTTAAGCAAAATATCGTGATACGTCTGTAGCGATTTGCCTAAGCCGAAGGCTGAGGCAAATAATTGATCTGCGAGACACTGAGAAATCAGAAATATTTTGCGATAACCTAGTTCAATAATTGTTTTATCATTCGATCACCGAGTTTGTTTTGTTTTTTAATGAATATCCTCGGGAAGCGAAGCGATGTGCCATTTTCACGCAAGAGCGATCGCAAGAAGGAGAAAAGCACGGTTTCCTTTACGCATGTGCAGAATATTATTTGCAGCCAAACACTTAGCCAAACACAGTTGGACGGCATTGCGCATGAGCAGACCATTATTTGTAAGCAGTTATTTGCAGGTCACGTGGTGGGCTCTCGGCAAATGAAAAGAAAGAAAAATTTGCTTTGAATGATAATGAACAATTATTGGATGAGGTTGAGCATGATATCATGAATTATCAAAACCGAGGTCTGTTCGGCTGAGGCAGATAATACAGACAAGAGGTTTTGATAATTCGTGATATCATGCGAAAACCGAATTCAATAATTGTTTTATCATACATTTCTTAAACAATAGGCAAAAGAAGACATTCAGCCATTCTGTTTCTGAGGAGAACACTCCAACGGGCTTGGTAACCAGGCAGACGTTGAACTTGACATGATATATGCAATATCTGCAGTAGATTTTGCATTTATCATGTCAAGTTCACAAGCTATTGTGAATTGATTGAATGCTCTCGACCAATCAGATTTTTCATAGTGAGTCTGATGTATAATAATATGCGATATTTGTTCTCTTCCGGTATTCCAGAAAGTTGTTTGTATCAGGAGCCTAAATAGGCTCCCATCTGAATACCTTTTTCAACTGAAAAGTGACTGTTTGCAGTAAGAATTCAGATACGTTGTGCATCTATATAGTGTAGAATAACAACAATAAGAAGAATCAAAGAAAAAAATGACAATAGCCATTAAATCAAAATGGATTCCCCAAATACAATCATCTGTTGCTCTTGATAATTATCTAAAAGGTTAAATTACAACTCACAAATTGCTCTTCATTGAGACTAGCCAGTACTAAAAGCGAAGCTCCCGTTAATGTATTTTAAATTTACTGCAGACATTGGACTTTAAACTATTGAAAAGACCACAAATCTATACTTAACTTTTCGGGAAAACCACGTGATTAAAAAACATAAACTTGAGCCTGCGATCAATTAAAAGCTAACAACTGGTTAGCGGAAAACTTAGAATAACACGTGACCACGATGAGTTGGAACCTGAACCCGCGATAAGGTCAGCGGGTACCCTGTTTTGACACCTGTCAATTGACCACAATATGGAGTCTATTATCAGGTTAAACACAGGTTACAAGCCCCCACACTAGCTAGAAAATTTGACAGTTCACATTGGTTTTCCCGTGGTGCGGACGGAGGGGTGGACGGGGTGGACGGGCGTACGGTCACGTGATTACCAAACTTTCTCGGATGGATAGATTATCAAATTTTCTTTTTCTTTTCGGTTTAGACGTCATTTGAAGTGGGAATAAAACAAAACTGTATGCAAGGCTGGTAATACGGCAAAGGGCTAATTTATTTGAGGCCAATATTTCGGATGACAAAATTAGCCTCCCTAAGGGCCAGAGCTACACTGAAAGAGAATACTCTGAACGGCTCCTAAAATTTGAATTCAAATTTACATATTTGGTTAATGACAAACTAAAAACAATAGATAACATGATAGATGAGTAAATAGATAACATGATAGATGAATTAATTAATTAACAGATGAGTAAATAATGAGGAAATGACTATATATACTTCACATCATTATACAATAAAGTGATTGATAAGGTACAGTTCAACGTTCTTCCTGGCGGTTTAAACCACCTGGTGAAAGAGTTTTGCCCCTATTTAGGAGGTAAGCTTCTCTTGCTTTACGGCGCGATATGCTGAGTGTAGCTTGAAGTTCACTTGTAGACTGAATCCCCATTTACCTGGGGAAGATTTGTTCGGAGTAGAAGGATCATCCACCTACCTGAGCTACCCTGGGCGAGACAACTTTTCCTACATTTCCTTACAAAACGTGGCGAACCGTTTAGATAAAAAACAAAAAAATGGCTCGGCTAAATCGGTCACCCTTTTGTAATGGTTAGGTCACCCGCTTACTATAAGGGTCAACGTTTGTCCATACAAACACTTTGGCTCGCCCAGCCGGGTCAGCTAGGTCAAGGCGAGACAATCAAAGCATGCGCGAGCGTTTTTGGCTCGGGCAAAGAAGTCAAATTTTTTCCCATACAAAATCTCGCTAAAGTTTACTCGGCTGTGAGGTTGACCCTTCTACTCGAGAAGGGTTTTCTCCATATGAACGGGGCCTTAGGGTGTGTTCACACTGTCCTGGAAAGCTCTTACTCTTCTTGCTCCTCCACTCGCCCGCATTTACATCAGTATGACCAGTAATGGCAAAAGCTGGAGGGGTGCGGGTGGGGGTACTTCCTTAAAAGAGGCTATTGGGGATGTGCCGCTGGATGAGGTCGCATTTTCACGACTGGATTGACTATAATGGGGTCGCATTTTCAATAGAGTTTCTAGAATGAGGTTGCACATTTTCGGATTTTTGGGGTATGAAAAGTCTTCATATTTACGGTTAGCAAACGTACCAGGACTGTTTGTACTGTAGGTGAAAAGTAGAGTGTTCTTCATTCAATTTAAAACTGAATGGGTCAATTCATTTTAGGATGACCTATTTAAAGGATTAATAAGATAAGATAGATACATAAATAGAAAGTGACTAAGTTGGGATCGCGAAAATGACATTTGCCTAAAATTGACTAAGATGGGGTCTAAAATTGGCCACAGAATAGACTATAATGGGATAGGGGCTCGGAGAGGCCAGCGACACGTACCCAGCAAAAACTAACCTAAGTACCTCCCCCGGTAAAAACATGCCTTTCTTTAATTCAAGCGGGTAATCATTAAAATTTGATGTAAGGGACAATCCATTGAGAAAGTTATGGAGGGTGGGGGGGGGGGCGTGTGTTCCCCACTAGCGGAGGCTTCTCTTCCCGCCGAATACCAGGAAAACAGAGACCTCAGCTAGCAGGGAAGGGAGTGTGAAGTACAAAAAATGTTGGATCAGTTTCGGTTTCTGGGAAACTGCCCACCTACCCCTCCCCTAAGCCATCATTCAGCCCTAAGTGAGAAGTAGGTGTTAATGTTAGTTTAGGGGAGGGGTAGGTGAGTTTCCCACAAACCTAAATTGATTTGAAATATTCATGGAAGGAAAATTAGCTAAAGAAATGAAGGAAATGTTAACGAAAAATAATTCATGCCTCTCGAAAATTCCCCACCCCTGCCGTAAAAGGTCCCTCCTTTCTATCCTCCGCTTCCGTGGTATCGTGGTCGACAGAGAAGACCAAATACGAAATTATAAACTTTTATTGACTGAAATTACGTTCATTCAAATATCACCAGCTAGCAGACGTATTGTACATAATATTCACAAGAGAAGCGAGGTTAGAAGAATCTATAAGCTTAGAGCATGTATAACAGGCGCAAAGAGAGGGGAGGGGGAGAAAAACGCCCCAAACCTCCACCCCTACCCTCCCCACCCTAGCCCTTTCGATGCCTTTCATGCAGGCTAAGAAGCAAACTATTAATAACTAAAGCGAAGAGAGAAATTGGCCATGAAAAATCAAAACAAAATCTTTGCCTAGTAAAACTAAGTGGTAGTATGATGTATGTGAATATATACGCAGTGTACTATTTTAAACCTTTTGCACTGATCATTGAGTACAGCTAAACTGTCTTTGGATGGTTTTCACTCCCTAAATCAATTACAGAAGCAAAATGTGTCAGTCTTACTTTTTTTGATCTGTGAACCTAAAATCCTAATACCTGACTATTTGAATAAACCATCTTCGGTAGTACTCTCATAAAGCTCTTTTTGGTTAAAAGTATTTTACAAAATAAAATTTGATCTATTTTTTACATTTGATTCCAGGCTCTTTTAGGAGTAACAATTGAAAGTCCGTAACTTCCGGGCCCGGTAAGTTAACATCAAATAAATTCCAGTTTTAATCTCTTGGAAGTCTTTCGCGAAGTTCTGAGCAAGTGAAAGAAGTTTTTGCTGGGATTTTTGCAAACCCTGCACAAGTGTTACTTTGATATTTAGTTTAAAAATTCAATATATCGCTTGATTGGAACTGTCTTAGATCAGAAACCTATTAACTCTGTCTCGGCGAGATGACTTCTTCTTTTGAACATATACACGAGTAAAAGAGCGAATGACATAACTTCTCTTGGTACTGGACTTTTTTTTTACAACAGGGAAACATAAGAGTAGCTAAAATTCAGCGCAAAATCATTATGTAAATCATAACGTCGTGCAAAAACATTAACTAATTTTGAACTAACATTGTTGGTGAACTAGCCTTCTAGCTCAATCCCACTCACTGTCCTTCCTCTCTACATACGCAACGGAGTTATATCATAATTTTAGTAATAAATGTTTGTTTCAAACAGCAAAAAACGTCGCTGAAAAACCAACACCCAACAAACAATTCATAACGTGCACTAGATTGAGCTTTATAAGCCATGGTTATCAACCAGTCGTCTAAGAGCTGGCTCAAAACTGGTCAATGCTGGCAGGTCTATCCGCGATAAGATTATGGGAAAAAATAAAATTTTGGTCATAACGTACTGAGATGGTTCTCCTCTGGCGATTTTATTAGTCACCGTGGCTTTGGGTGAACTGCTAGCATAAAGTTCACGATAAATACTATATACGATGGTTGTCGGCAATAAGAAGCCAACATGCAATAGAGGTTAACCATTTCTTTACCCTGGGTACCAGAGGTATTTTCTCGTGTGCGTCGGGAAACTTCGTTTCGTCGACCGCAGGCCGAAGACACGAGCGGGGAAGCCGCGCGGGTCACTTTTTAAGACTTGACCGAAACTGGAAACCGCGCATGAAAAGCCTGTGGCACCCAGCGTACCATTTGTTTTACGATGCCTGCTAACTTTGTTAGCGAGCCTGGATTGCTGGGATAAAGCAATGTCACTTGGTCTTCCGAGGGCAAACAGCAGAAAAAGTCACCAATGTTAAGCTTTCGAGGTCGAGTTTGCTAATTCTAGACAATAAAAAATGAAGACCTAGTAATGACGAAGCAAACTAAGCTTGTCACGCAAATAAGAAATTCTGGCAATCAGAAATACAACGAAACTCAATCGACTAAAACTGTTTAGTACGGAAGAAGTAAACAGTGACTCGTAATCGATTGTTTTCACAGACAGTTTTCACTGGCATATGTTATGTCAAATGTTTACTGAGAATCTTGGCCTTAGTGGAGGCGAGGATCCTGGTAAACTTTCTTCATTACTTATCAAAAGGTCACCGCCAGCCTCGCTTCCACTAAAAGGCTAGGTCGCTCAGCATAAAATTGCAAAATGGCTCATTAGTCCTTCAGAGATCACGTGATAGTGTTTTGTTAATCCTTAAAGTAGATATCTTGAGTAAGGTCTGTTGCAATGATAAAAAAAGAGTGTTGAACACGCACTAAGACTATAAATCTAGATCAATATCAGACGTGCCATCATCGTCGTCGTCCCCATATCCTGACATGCTGTCCACGGGACCCGTCCCGTAAAATGTCAGCTTCCATTCTAACAAAACCCCAGAACTAATCCTCCCGGACTCGGGATTCAACCCGGGAACAAACTCCTCCTGGAAGCCATTATTTACTTGCACCCGCTGAGAACCAGTCTCTTCGGTTGTAACCTGAACTCTCTGTCCCTGAAAGTCGGTATCCGTTCGTTTGCTCTCGGACAACTTCGTGGGGTCATCGGGTTCAGTGGTGTAAATATAACGATCATATCCGTAAACCTTGTTACTTTCATCGTCGCCCGTATCCTCGTCAATAAAAGTTTTTTTAGCTGCCGTTGCTATTTGGTAGTTATTGCCTTGCTCTGTTATGTCCGGCGTTTCATACGATGTTAAAAACGCACCAGGATTCTGACTCATTCCTATCCCGTTTTGGTATTGTTCAGGGAGAAAGGTATCGAATGTTCCTGGATCGTAGTCTCCCCATTCCTCTGCCTCTGTGTTACTAGGAACTGTGATTGAAGAGTATTTTTACAAGGGGTCAGCTATAGCCAGAGAACACTAAAAAAATTTCAACAATTGGCAACTACTAAAATAACATAATTCTCCCCATAGAAGTCTTGAATTCAGTACACATTCTAAAGAGTAATTGGTTGACAGGTTACTCAACCGATCACAAAGAAAGACAATAGGGCCATTTATACGAGGAAAAATAAGGCGCGTCTTACATAAGACGGGTCTTAAATAAGACGCGAACTTTTCGTATAAACGGCACATTTCGTCTAAAATAAGACGCGGCTTAGCTAAGACGCGTCTTATTAGATAAGACATGCTCGTATAAATGGTACAGTTCGCGTCTTATTTAAAAGACGCGTCTTATGTAAGACGCGTCTTATTTTTCCTCGTATAAATGGCCCTAATCATTAAGACACCCAAACATACGGATGGAACCGTCATTAGTCTTTTTGTGTAAGGGATACAGCCTTTGGTATTCTTACCCTCGGAATAACCAGGCGCTGTCTTATTATGAGTTTAAATGAAAAAAATCATCGCACAAGTCCTGTCCCCGAAAGGAAATGAGCTAGAGAATGAAACGACAAAAGGGTTAGCGATCGACTGATTTTGAATTTGCTCTTTTGAATCTGCCAAGGATGAAGAACTCCCTTCTTCCACTCCTGAGTTATTAAATAACTTTTATTTTTTCTGGCTCCAGTTGTTCAAAAGCTGGATAATGCTATCCACCGGATAAATCACTATCCAGCTGATAAGTATTAGGAAAAACTACTGCGTTATACACTGGATTGTAACTTATCCACTGCATAGCGCTATCAACTATTTTGAACTACTGGAACCTGGCGATACTAAGCTGCTTCTGCACCGATCGTAAAACTGTTTTAAAATTGTCATAAAGTAGAAGACGTTTGTCTTACCATTTCCTGTTTCCAATTCATCCTCTTCACTTTCCGCTTTCTCTTTCGGAGCTTCAGGAACGCGAATCTTATGCTTTTTCACCCCCTCCGGGTACGGAGCATCTACTAATGGGGCTTTTGCGCCATCCATGCCAGCTTTTTTGGCTTCTAATTCTTGGGTTTTCTTCTCGTCATCAATTACCTTACTCCGATAAACGAAAAAAAACAAGAAAATTACAGTCAAATTACATTGATTCAAAAGCATGTTTTACAATACCTAAGTGATTTCTCACGTTTGATTGGTCGAGAGTTTAATAGTCCATAAGAGTTTTCTGTGAAACACTTTGAACATATCGTGACTAAAGCAATTTTGTGAAACGCAAACTAATCATAGAAAAATTATTCAATTTTCAACATAAGATAAAGCATTTTAATTCCAAATATGAATTATCTATTCAAAGACATTGATGGTTTCTTACTACAGCTACTGCTTCACCATTCTAAAACTAACCTCTAAGAAGCCTTAATTTTTGTTATTATTTTGAGGGCAAAACATGTATATGTGTTTACTGCACATCTCCTGCTGTTTTTGTCGTCGCTGTCGTTGGTGCTACTTTCACTCGCCAAGGGATCAAACAAGGGATCAATTTAGGTTTTGGGAAACTGCCCACCTACCCCTCCCCTAGTCCAACATTTTGCCCTAAGTCAGAACTAAGTGTTAATGTTGACTCAGGGGAGGGGTAGGTGGGCAGTTTCCCCGGAAACCTAAATTGATCCGAAACAAGAACAGAACTGGAGCCGAAATGCGTCCCGCAATTGTTTGTGGGATTGTTTACTGGGGACGCGTCGGTCAGCTATTGGCCAATAGACCTTTTTACCAATACGGCGGCCATATTGAATTAATTCGATTTAAGGAGTATTATAGGATGCCCAGGGAGCATGAGCACATTTGGTCGTTTGTATTTTCGAGCGCTTTTCCGGACATTTTTTCTTAAACGTTTTCTTAGAATAAGATTGTAATGGGAAAAAAGATCCTTGTGCCGTGTTTGGATGTAATAATTATCGCCTTTTTCTAGTTTAGTTTTAGAAATATGGTCTTTCACTGCATATTTCTAGGGAAAAAGGCAATCATTATTACATAAAAACACGGCACAAGGATCTTTTTTCCCATTACAATCTTATTCTAAGAAAACTTAAACAAAAAATGGCCCGAAAAGCGCTCGAAAATACAAACGAAATGTGCTCATGCCCCTTGGCCATCCAATAATACTCGTTAAATCGAATTAATTCAATATGGCCGCCGTATCGGTAAAAAGGTCTATTTTTCCTCTATAGCAGTAACAATCCCAGAAGTCAATTCAAGAATGATCCTCGCAGTTGTGAACTCAATTTATGAAAATGCGCAAAAAGCTTGAAAAAAAATAATGACTTCAACGGGGTTTGAATCTTGATCTCGCGATACCGGTGTGATGCTCTAACCATCTGAGCTATGAAGCAAATGATGTTGGGAGCTTGTCAATTATATGCATATATGTTCCCATGAAAGAGATGAATGTGATAGATGTCGTATATTTATTACGTAAAGCGCTTTTGGACCATTGGGAATCAGCGCTCTATAAATATTGTATATTAAATAATGTATATTATGTAAAACTGCGGAAATGAAATCAAATGAAGAATTATCCTCGCAGTTGTGAACGCAATTTATGCAATTGCGTAAGAAGCCCGAAACAATTCAGGACTTTAACGGGGTTTGAACCCGTGACACTGGTGCGATGCTCTAACTGATGTTGGGAGCTGGTCAATTAAATGTTCATATGTTCCCGTGAAAGACCTCCACTTCCAAGTCCTAGGGGTCTTTGCAAACGATAACTCGGGACAGTTGCCATCTCTTTCTAAAATGGCGAATCATATTCTTAAACAGATGCCATCGAAAGCCAAAACTGTTTTTGCCCTTTTTTTGGATGCAATGTAAAAGAAGACGAAGTTCACTTTCTTTTTCAATGTCCTACATACTCTATGATTAGGAATAAATTTTACTATAAAGTCAAGACTCTGATTCCAGATATTACCCAGTTAGCTATAAACGGTTTGATCAATGAACTGATGAACTCTTCTAAATACTTTATCAATATACAATTCATAAAATACTTTTCAGCTTGTTTTGATGTTCGTGACAAATTATTATCAAAGTAATGTAATTGCCCTATGTTGTAATTTTGATTCCTAAACATAGCTTTTGCAATACTGTATGTGTTTGTATGGTCATGCAAATAAAGCTCGTTGTTGTTGTTATAAGTGTAAGCCCATGTAAAGCTATTGTCAAGAACCAAGAAACTGACCTCCTCTTCCAAGTCCTCTACATCTGCCTCCTGTTTACTGGTGTCATGCTGAAGGTATCCATTCACATCCACCCCTTTGTTCAACGTAGCAATGTTATCCGTAACATTCATCACCCACACCCCCTTGGGATTCTCTCCCCAGTTATGCACGGTCATGAATGTCCAATCATGAAGCCCATTCTTTGAATCGTCATAACGCCGAGTGGAAAGCATCTCGTTTCTAGTCCCACTCGGAGAAAACAAGTCTACACTGACGTCACCACGACGCCGATGTTGGAAGCTAACTGTCAAGGTCACGTGCTCTACCTTGTTGATTTCCTTGTCAGTTCCATCGCATGCAATGGTATCAATAGTAATTGATAGGGTTCCGCCAGCTGGGATTTCCCTGAAACAGTCAGAAGGATATCCATGAGTTAGCAGTACAATAAAAAATTAAGCAATTTTTACAGATTCAAAATGTTAGAATAGCAAGAGTTCTCGCCATGCCACTTATGCTGTAGGTTTATCTTTTATTTACACCCGATAGTTCTTTTTGCTTCCGTTAAGAAGTGCAGATAATAACCAGGTATTAACTGTGCCCGAAAAACTGTGCGGTAAACTGGCAACCTAAAGATATTGCCAGGTTATCACGAAATAGAATAATCATTTCTCAACATTATAAGCTAGAGCAACCGCCCGGGGGAGCTACTCCCTATAATGGCCTATAGGGGGAGGCTCCGCTCGAAAGGGATACCTTTTTCAGGCTTCTGTTAAATGAAAGAATAAGGATTTCGTAACAGGAGTATATGAAGGGGTTGGGAAATCTGTCATTCCGGTCTCTGAATGGACCAAAAGGGCTGACACTTAATGCATTTTATGGAGACATGAAGACTTCCGGATTTAGTGATTTATCCCCATTAAAAAGACGGTGAATTTACAGAATTTAAAGGGATGCAGTGTTTTGAACTACTTGTAGGTCTGTGAAAGTGGTACCATTTGTTGTCAGTGGGTGCTATACGAAAAGGGTACCTTTTCAGTCAAAATGGTATATAAAACGGTAAGGGGTTGGACCTCGGGGGGGAACCTTCCCGTATTAAACTTCGGTGGGTTCCCCCTGTGGAGCAAACGAACGAAACAGTTAAAGTACTATCAACGAAAAACTGAAGGCTGCATTGCGGATTATTTTATATGACTTACTGTTGCGTTTGACTGGAGGGTCCGTGACAGGTCCTTTGTGGAGCCACATTTTTCCAAGTCTTTGCTCTTTTTACCATTGCTGAGGCATCAAGTCTCCCAAAACCAAACTTGTGATTAAAATGATAACCGGCTCCGTTCTTCATCCATCCTTCATCCACGGGACTTGTTACTTGAGCAGTTTCTACTACAAGGTGCTGGACATCCCGCCATGTAAGGTTAGGGCTAAACAGGGAAACAACAACAAAGCAATGATGAGACGGTTTATGCCCAAAATATAATGTTTGTAACAATAAAAATGATCATTTTTTGCAAGTCAAAACTGCTTACTGTGTTTCAACAGGGTTTTCAATAGCGCAGCGAATGTCATACAGTTAAAGAACGGGCTGTGTCTTGGTAGACAACAGTAAAGACAATGTACGGAAAAAGAAGCACTTGTTTGAAAATCTGTAAAGAGCTTTGTAAGGTTGAGGGAAAGCTATGGTGTTTCTCTAATCCGGCATCGCTCTCTTGTTTGAATGATTAAAAGCCCACAATTGATTTCCTTTCTTTTACAATAACGCTTATTTTTCCGTGTCCACCTTTTGGCCCAATAGAATCGAACAGAAGTTTGGCATTCGTACCCAGTCTCTTGCTCGTTTAGAAAATGACTAATTGTGAGCTTATACTATCAAAATGTTTAGGCAAGAGTTCAGTAAGCAGAGTAAGTGTGTTTGGTTCCTAGTCAGCTTTTTAAGCGTATTTGGACAATCCAAAAAAAAAAACATCGAGCAATCAGGATTTATCAGAGGTATGCTGCGCAGGTACAGATTTTGGTCTTTTTTTTCCCTTTTTGTTTGCAGGAAACTAGATAAGACAACTGAACACCGTTTATTGTCTCTCATCATATGGAAAAATGATATGGAAGATTAAAGGTCATTGGGCTACGAAATATCAACTCACTTGGCTTGAAGAACTAGAGCGAACATTCCAGCCGCCAGTGGGGCAGCAGACGATGTTCCTTTGAACTCTTCGGTGCACTTATGATGCAGATCCGTGGTCACCTAGAAAAAAACAGCGTCAAACATTACATAAAAAGCGTTTTCATTCACGTCGCTAACAGCTTTGTAAATTGAGTTGCTGCGACAAATGGAATCGTTTACATAAGAAAAGAGTTGAACTCCCACAGGGCTGGTTTTGAACACCAACATGGCCGCTGTTTTATTGTTTTGGGACACCAAAAGAGCGTTTTCACATGACGTCACGGCGGCCATCTTGGTGTTCCCAAAACAATGAAATGACCGCCATGTTGGTCTTCCAAACAAATCCTTTAGGAATTGAACTCTTTTCTTATGTAAACGCTTTCTTTTGTTGCAATAAATTTGGATAGATGTTGGCCACGTGAGTGAGAACACTCTACGAGGCCGCTGTTTTATTGTTTTGGGAGTCCAACAGGGCGGACGTGCACGACGTCACGTGAAATCTTCAGCCTTTCTCTACAGTTCCGTCCAAAAAATATCTGGAATAACACAGACCTCATCCACGGCTTATACTTTTATTTGTTAGTTATATTATTTATTTTATTGCAAACAAAATAACTTTCAACATGTTTTTAAAAAGCTCCTCTTGTCGAGTAAGCAACTTCATTTCCAAGCGGGTGAGATTTTTTCCCCTTTGGCGCTTTGAGTCTCGTTCTCGTGTTTAGGGACAAAACAATTTTTCACAAAAATTTTTTTCCCAAAAGAGAAAAAAATCAAAAATGGTCCCTCGTTCAATTAAGAAGGGCTACCAACTTACATTGAAGAAATCGCGGTTCTCTTGCAGGTTCTTCTATGGAATGAAAAACGTAAATAGCATACGACCAACCATCCTAACAGCAGAGGAGGAGGCTTTCTTTCGCTTAGCATGAATCAAGTAAATTCTTTGTTGAGCAAGCCTACACGTTGCTACGATACAGTTTCGAAAACAGGCCTAATCGCCGTGTGCTTGGTACGGCAGGCTCAGTTATGACCATCAGTTTATCAATGAACAAGAGAGGAAACAAGAGTGACCGGTCGAGAAGTTTGGGCTTCAGCCCCGGAATTCAAAGGCTTAACGCCGTTCATGCAGAGGCTTCTTTTCTTCTGCCGGATCAAGCTCTGCACGCAGGGTGACGGCTACTGAACCATTTGCCATTTTAATTATTTTAATAATCAGTTAAAGGTTTTAAATCATATTACCATTTTGTTTTCTTCTTTCTCCCGATGTGACCCTCCATTAAATGTAACTCCTAGAGTGGACGAGCATAGCTCGGTGTAATAAGCTGACAGGCCATGGTCACCTATACAGCCCACTGATATGGTATATATACTGGTAGTGTATCCATCGCAGTTACAGTCGTCATCTGTTAGTCCTCCATTACCAGTCGCCCACACATAAATGTTACCTTTACCTCCACGACCCTGTGAATGTTTAGATAAAGAAAGGGGCAAAATGATTTTTAAATCATTTAAAAATGCTTCAGGCAGCGCTTGGAATAAACAAAGGACTCTTACTAATAACGGAAAAAGTTGAGTGATGTAATATTCCAAAACCTTGGAAGATTTACTTTGTGAAATACTTTCAAACTTTAGTAAATAAACAACACATCAAACGTAGTCTTTGTCTTTACCTTAAGAGCGCCCTGCATTAGCGCTTCTTGTGCAAGTTTTCCTGGTTTTCCGAACGTCTTTCCGTCATCTTTAGGACCCCAGCAATTGCTGTAGATATCAATATACTCGGATTGAAAGCTTAGTGAACTCCCTTCCAACACATCAGTTGCTTGACCATCTAACATTCTCACTCCTACGTTAGGGATAAAAAAATGTTTTGGAGTTGCTTAACCTGCGATCAATCTGTTGTCTTCGAATTGTTTCCTTTGACGGAGTAGTCTGGTAAATGCGTAAGAGAAACGTTTTGCAATATCTCGTACTCAAGTAGCCTGCGATGGTAGATGCCTTTCATAGGGTTTAGTTTCACACGCCCGTGAAAAGAGGCGTACTCAGACTGCTGCTTAATAAGTTTTGAAGGTGTGAGGAACTGGGATCGAAGTATTGGAAGGGCTAGTAACAGGAAAATTCCTTTGTGCCCACCCTGCCAAATTTTCTTGATCACCATCTGGGCGGTTTCTACTACTGTTAACTTTCGGTTCTTTTTTGTTTCCTGAATCTAAAAGCCTCATTCCAGATTAAACAGAATTCCTACTTCTTATATTGACATTGTTATAGTATTCCCATACCTCCTATATTGGCATCATAAGCCACTCCTACACCGCAGATGCTATTGTTGGCAACTGCTGCCACTTCTCCAGCGCACCTCGTACCATGACTAGAAAATAGAAAAAAAGATTTTAAGGAATGAGACCCTTTTAGTGGGGTTACGTATGTCCTTACTAGTCTGAATTTCAAAGCCTGTCGTTTCGCGTATAATGAGGAGGAAGCCATGTCGCTGTCGGTATTCTGCTATTTGCGCTTTTCTCTGTCACTGTCGCGGTTTCAAGCCATGTTTGTGTCATTTGTCACCATTTCTGTTGTCCAATGTTACAAGGCCATGTCGCTTGTTGGGATTTTATCCTGACAGGGCCTCAGGAATGTCATGGAAGCTTTTGCATATACTTTTTTGGTCTCAAACAGTAGGTACGCAGCACTCTATTTAGTGTGAATGTATGAGGGCTAGACGCCGCTTCAAACAAAAAGATTGACTGTACACGAAGATGTGCAAAGCTCCTAGAATCGTTTGGGAAATCAACTAATTAACCCTAAAAATTAGCAAAATGTTAGCATTTCCATTTCGCACGATGTGTTATCTTTCAGTGGATACTTCCAGGTTTTTTTTAACCTTTCACGTTGTTAACAGAGCATTCAACACTTTTGCGCTAGAAAATACGATACTGGGGCAGATTTTGTATAGGCTATACGATCCAGCTTTACACACTGATGAAGATATTTCTGAACAAATACAAGTTGACAAATGAGATGTCATACACAAGATAGAATGTTTCATCTGGTTTTCAAACAACGGCCGAATTGTTTATTTCACCGACGTCGAAATGTCTTGATAGCAGCCACCAAAATATAGACACAGTATCCAAGTAATTCACTTGCTCAGTGGTCGAGAGAGATTATTGAGTCTTAGGTCAACACAAACAATGTATATTGGGCTCGGTTTTAAAGCGTGTCCCTCAGAAATCGCCCAGTCCTAATCTCTGAGGTTAAAGGCCTAGAAACTAGCAAAAGAAATCCATAAATAAGTGATTAACAAACCAGTTATCAGGATCACTGTCTCTTGGCTTTGGATCAGCATCCATGTCGTTAAAATCATAACTCGCTTTTTGATCCTTCGGAAAACAAAACCAAAATATCAACTGACTCCAAACATTTTCAATTCGTTCTATTTAAAAAGAAAAAAATGAATTTCTGACATTCAACTGGCAAAGAAATTAAAGTTAGTATTTAATTCTTTTTTTTTTGTAATGTAGCCAATCACTTTTTATTATGTTTCGCAGTTTCAGTGATAATACCAATAGTGGTAGCAAACAGAGCTAACAATTAGTGAGGGAAGAATGTTTAAGACCCGGGGTGGGGGGTTAAGAACAATTGCTTCTTTCCTTATCACGTTGAAAAACAGATTAACTGCAAAAGAAATTAAAACAATATATGTTGAAAGTCTTTTGTCGTATTTTCAAGTGGTATAGGGAACACAAGACATGATGTTTCATCACAGATAAAACACCGCAGACCAGACATTTATCCGCCGATAATGAACCATAGTTAATGATGTGAACTTACAAAGTTATCTCTAAGATCTGGATGCGTGTGATCCACTCCGTCATCAAGAATACTAACAACTACCCCTCTTCCCGTGATTCCCTGTCGCCAAACTGGCATCACATCGAGGTCGACGCCAGCTGGACCTGTGGACTGGCCTTGATTTAACTGTGAAGAAAGGTAGAGTACATTCAATCGCTTCTACATTAAAGGCGATGGAAGCATTTAATGAAGAACCAATCAACCAAATTCGCTTTTGTAATTAAACTAGAATAAATCAAAACTAAGAAAGTTGGTTTCCTTTTTCAAACAGCCTTGAAAGCGTTAGGCTGTTCGGGAAATGATCCCACAGCCTTGTCCCGTGAGAACCCGAGAGAGCGGCGGAAATTGAGCCTAAGAAAATGTGGGATCAACAGCTTGTTACTTGATAACAGTTACTGTATGTCTTGCAGCTAGGACTGAAGAACGTTTTACTCTTCTCCTAGAGTTTATGTTCACTTACTTAGGAAGCAGAGAGCGGAAAGAAGATTTTTCAACGGACCAAATTTAAAAAAAAGCTTCCGAACTTCAATATGAAAAAGTGTATAGTTTGGCCTCTTAAACTTTAAATATGTCGACTTCATTGCGCAAATTGCAAAATTCACCAAACGGCGAATCATACAAACATCGAAGAAGGACGTTCTTGGACCCCAAAGAGGGTAGCTCTAAAGGCCACATAAACCTTAAAAAGAGGTACCTCATCCTAAGTTCATTAAAACTTTCAGTTGTGCAGGGGTGTATAAAATGCCCAATAAACCTAGCCTGGTTACTTAGTAAAGTAAAATAGACTTACAAGATACCACTGGTCATTAAATTTTGGATCCGTTGGTATACCATCCTTTCTTGTTCTTTCTAAAACATGTTGATGTTCAGCCCATACAACCTGAAATTAACAACAAACAAAACTTGCATTTTATATTAGCACCGGCTTGTTACTTAGCTTGTCCTCCGTAGTCTCTGATACATCATCAATTCTCTTGCGAGAATACCGTCTCGGCCACAGGTAACGCTCCTCCGTATTTGTTAACTTCACCATTACATTTCTTCAAATACGTAAATGCGCTGTTCCAAAATTCCTTAAACTACACTAAGAACACGTTTTCATCAGTTGGGAAAGCCTTTAAGCGAATGAATAATTTTTATTGTATAATGAGTCTGCGGATAGTTTTCTTTTACCGATGGTTCAATAAGGCCCCGTTAGTCGCGGGTAGAGGGGACACCCACCTAGCGAGTTACCCTGGGCCAGCCAACTTTTCATACATTTCCTCATTACAAGACATAACGAACCGTTCACATGAGAAAGAAAAAGTTGGCTCGATTACGCGGGTCACCCTTTAGTGCTGGTAGGGTCACCTTCCTAGCCGGGCTAACTTTTTTTCCATATAAACACTTTGGCTCGCCCAACCGGGTCAACTCGGTCAAGGTGACAGAATTACAGAGCATGCGCGAGCGCTGTTGGCTCGGGCAAAGAAGTCAACTTTGTTCTGATATAAACGCTTGCTAAAGTTTACTTGGCTGGGAGGGTGACCCTACCACGCGAAACAGAATTTCTCAACATAAACTTGTTACGAGGCCTACGTGCTTTTCCAATCTGCAAAATCATAACCTACTGACAGGGACCAACTCTGACGATTATTTTGTTGAAATCAGTTATAAGTGCAGAGCTTTTGGAGCCATCCAGCTCTTGGCTCCTTAAATTCGAATGCGTCCTAAGTTGAGATATTTCATATCGAGTATTGTTTCTAAAAATTGTCAATTGTTATAAAATTATACATGTGACACATTTTAGCTTAGGATCTTGGACCAGCTGTTTGTTTTGATTGATCGATCAGCTGATGTGCTGACTTAATTCTTGTAATAAGATCCTGGAGAGGTGCTCCGAAAGCTCAGCAAAACTTTCTTATTATTTTTAACGACCATCAATCCATAGCTTAAATTTAATGGAGGTTTATCTTACTTCATCTTCAGATAGTAACAATCTGGTCTTTTCGTGTAGATGGCGCTTGTGCCGCAATCCTTTGCCTTCATGTTTAAAGTGATAATAACCTTTTAGTGATCCAACCTGAATACAAACAAAATGGTCAAAATATCATTGCACAAGACGTCAACTCCTCGTCGGTCTGTATTAAAACAATACCTCTATTTGTGATTACAATCGACTACTCTTACTCTAGAACTGGAATGATGAATATAGCAGTTTTATGTATTTAAACTGCGGAATGAAGAAATGAATGCAGAGACGATCATCATAGTTAAATAAGCATTTTTTGCAATTGCGAAAAGAAAACCTGAAAAAAAAAAATGCGTACTGAGACCCGAACCATGACCACCTCTTCCTTACCGGTGCAGCACTTTAACCAATTGGACCGGCAAGCCAACTGGGAGCTGGTTGGCTCAGCTGTTTACTTAGGTTGGCCAGTTCCTTGCAGGGTCACTGCAACAGCGCGAGACGCCAATTACTGCGGGCCCGTAACAGTCCCTTCCTCCACGAGAGATAGACCACCATACCGGGGACAACGCCCACTGCTCTTTACGAACAGAGTGTGGGTTCTTTCACGTCCCACAGAATTTATATCTACAGGGGTTGTGAGACAGAGCCTACGTTTATCGTTCTTATCCTAGAAGACTGTAGAAAGTCTAATCGTTTGCAGATGTTTTTACAAAGGCAGCACTTTCTCCTCTGCTATTTTAAGACCCAGAGTGTTGGTCCGAGCTGGAAAAATGGTGAAACGTTTTTCAAAGAAGAAACGTTTGTACGCTCAAAGAAAATAGAAGGAACACAACCGGCCACAGACTAATCATTCTTCAAAATCTTGAATTTGACAAGGAACAGGCAAATGAAGAAGGTAACTGTTAACGCAGTAAGCACGTTCTTAAAAGATTAATTATTTTGAATGAGTAATAAAACAGTTATTGGATTCGGCATTCGTATGAATTGAAGAATTATGCAGATCTCAGAGTGTGTTATCCGCCGAGGCCAAACACTTCCTAGATCTACTATTCTTCAGATCATACGAACGTCTAATCCAATGATTGCTACTTGTACCTACGTTTAACCTTATAAAGGAAAAGTGAGTGCAAAAAATATCGTTAAACCAAAATTCAACGGCGGGATTCGAAGTTTGGTGGACAAAAAAAGGACGAATACAGCAGATCCAGAGAGCTATCTACATCAAAAACAGCAAATTACAGCCGACTTGACACAGTCCCAGTGACCAAAACTCCCCAACCTCAAATTCAGTTTTGGCTGATGAGTCAGCTATTTGACGGTAATAGTAGTATAGTAACAAGCAGCACTTTTTAAACTATGATGGTACATTTATGCGAAATTTCTCTTTGTATTTACAGAATTTCAAATATGGAGCCCGGAAGTTAAATCATAGTCCGTTCTTAGCTGTATCCATCTCTTTTCCAACAAGGGCGAATAGCAACGCGAGCCGCCCCCCTTTTCCAACATCCCTCCTTTTCGTATCTCTGGGGAGAGAAGAGCGTGGCTGATGGTTATGTTGAATCGGGATATCAGCGCCCGAACAGACTGACAAGATTGACCGTACATTGCTGTTCTTTATCAAAATACTGTTCCGCTTCACTCATTTGATAAAAGGGGGTGTGGTCAGAATTTCGAAGAACTTTGGCTTCTAATATATGGAACAACTTACATCTGATCAACCAGTTCCATTTTCTCCTTTTAATGTCTTGATAACATACTTAATCTTAGCGAGTATATATGATGTGCATTCAGTTACTTTATTTGGTCAAGTTTCTTGGCCTTACTCTCAAAGCCAACTGCTAATAAATCGAACGTAACGTATCATGTCGATGCTTAATTTGTTTTTAAATACCACTTGTGGTAAAATACCACTTGTGATTAATATAAACAATCATTGAAGTTGCAACTAATCGGTTTGTTAATTCCAATGAAAGTAATAAAAACAACCTCATAAAAGAATCGTGTTTACCTTTATGTTTTAAACAACTGTTTAAAGAGGGTGTATCTACAAAAGTCTCAGAGGAAAGAGTTGAGTTTTACGCTGATATTGCATGATAAAGCTGAACAAGAAAGTATGAAAAATCTCTCAACGTGCATGAAATGAACAAGTGTATAAGTTAAACAGAAAAGAGAATCAAAGAGGCAAATCTCCTAAAAATTAAGATCACTGGTAGCTAGTAATAACAGTCAGGTATCTGTTGTTAGTGGCATGGCGCATTTTGCGTAACGATGTAAGATCGCTTATGAGTCAAGAAACGCCGGGATCATCTACCAGCCTAGTTAACATCTCGGAGCACTTATATCTCTTGAATTCTTCCCAGGAAGAAAACGTTCGGTGAAACAATAAAAAGTTGCACTTCCTCAATGCATCTACCACCAGGTGTAATTATTGACGTTTCAATATCAGCCGGCCAGAACACCCGCACAAATAACATAAAGAGTAAACGTTTCCTACCTGACCATAGTTTATAAATCCATGTTTCTCAGCAATTCTATCCGCTACCTTAATCTCCGCTGGGTCGAGTTTGACCGCCCAGGAATTTGTGAACATTAGCTCTCCAGATTCGCTTTTGAGTGCATCTTCGAACTTATGGAGTTGTTCCCATTCTCTTCTTGTAAGCTTTGGCGTCGATTCTAGCGTCCTCTTTCCACGTTTTCGTGATTTCCTAGCGGGTTTTCCAAGGAGAATGGCAGTTTCAGAGAGGAGAAAGAGCAACGTGATGTAAGCTCGCCATCGCAATGGTTTCATTTTATAGTTTTTTTAGGGAAATAGTTATAGAAAATGAAGCTAATTTTGTTGAAAAATTATTGGATTGGCCATCTACTTAACCAGTCTGATGCACATAATAAATCATGGTGGTGGCAGGTTGTGGGTTGTCTTGCTGCAAACGCTTCGCTAAACTTCGTCTTGTTTAGTTAGCCATGCGTGTTGATACATTCGCAAGGTGTATCACACAGAATATGTTTGTTACGGAGAACTAAAAAAAATAGTAACAAAATCTGTATAAAAAATGCCCTTAACGTTGAAAGTTCTAATTGGTCAAGCCAAGAAGAAATTTAATGAAACTTGGTAGGGATAAAAGAACAGTTATATAAGAGAACCGAAAGCTAGAATTAAACAAACCCAAAAGACGCCTGAACAGAAAACGACGAGAAAAAAAAATGATTGGTCCATTTGAAGGGGAACTCATGATGCATTGGAAGCGATTCCAAAGTATTGTGGAAAAAGAATGGTTGCCAAGAACTGACTGCCTTTGAATTTAATCAGTATCTAAATTGTGTCCAATACAAAGCAAGAGACATGATTGGTTATGCTGGAAAAAATCCGTGAAAAAAACTCTGAAATTAAATCTGCATGAAAATTGCGTTTAACAGGACGTAATATGAATCTGAAAATTGAAGGCAAGGCTGATCGCACCAATATTTCGACTACGCAAAACTAGTTTTCATCGGGGGCTAGAAAAGCCTTCTGACCTCTGATGAAGACTAGTTTTGTCTAGCCGAAATCAGTTGAGCAAACCGCAAATTTGTAACCCTTAGATGTCCGATCAGCTTGCCTTCAATTTTAAGTGTTATTTTGTATTGCTGATCCTGATCTACAACAATGAGCCGGCTTTTCCTCGCTGCTGTTTGCCCACTGGTCCTTACAAGAATTGTTCGCGAAATATGATTGGTTAAGTTGGAGGAAAATTTCATGCAGGACAGTACCTTGGAAGGGATTTTGATGGCGAAGCCCCACGCGCTTGCTTTTGGTTATCTATTGTTGGTTTTCACATGACGTCACTAAAATCCAAACTACAAAACTATCGATAGAACCAATATTTTACTTCCACGATGTATTAGAACAGCGGAAAACTAATTTTCATACAAATTTTCGCTTCAAAAGGGTTCTTGGTTGTGTGATAGAGTACGCTTGAATTTCTAAAATTTTGCGTGACGCGGTATTTACATGACGGTCAAGAGAGCTGTCATGTTGGTGAAAGAAATTACTTATTTCAGGGAATTTTGCTCTCTAAACAGTTCATGTATTAGAAAAAGTATCACTTTAATGTTTATGAGTTCCTCGAAGAATAAATTCACGCTTTTGTAGCAAAACTCGGTAACAGATGTTTCTGTTCGTTTCCGTTCGCCATGTTGGTGGTCATCCGGATGGGCACCAGTATGGCGTATCCATACAAATTTCTATTAATTTTGTGAAAACATTTCTTCGGATATCTCGTATGCGAGATATTGCTCTGACCTGAATCTTGGCGAGGGTCTTTGCATATTTACCTCCTTTCATTTCCCAGATTCTGAACGGTTTTGATTTTTATTTTGATCTATTTTGAATGGCATAACACTGAAAACCAGCAATCCATTTGAGAAATTTCGATAGTCACGTGACCTTAAGCCCGCCCGCCCGTCCACAACACGAGGAAACCAAGGTGAATGTCACCTTTTTCTAGCTAGTGTGGGGGTCTGCAACATGATATTGCACATCGATGTTGTGGTCAATTGACAGTTGTCAAAACAGGGTAGCCAATGACCAGTATCACATGACCATGTCGTGGGATCAAGTATCCATCCATCGAGGTTACGTTTTCTTTTGAAGTTGTCTGCTGACGGGTTACTAGTTTTCAACTGATCATCACAGGCTCAACTAGCTCCAAGCGGATTTCTTTGCAATGGGTAAAACTCATGAAAAAAGGCACACGAAGAGAGACATGACTGGTTGATCTGCAGAGAAATTTAGCACTTTGAAAGAAATTTCTGAGCCAGTGAGCAGACTTCTCCTATTTCCTATGTCCCTTCTCCGCGTGAAACAATGGGAATAGGAGACGTCTGTACGTAAGCTAGTGACTTCCCAAGGGAAAAATTATAAAGGAAGCGTTGTCACTATAAACCCCTCTTAAATTTGACATGTATGAAAAAAGGCGCTTGAGAAGAGACATGATTGGTTGACTAGGAGAGGAATTCGAAACAGTTAGATATCCAAGGTCTCTTCCACCGTCGTCTTCGTTACGCACACGATGGCGGGAACAGGGGATGATGGGAAGGGAGAAGAGAATATTGTCTTTCCCTCCATTTCCCCCCTAACAACTATCCCTGCGCGGCACTTAGCGCGGCACTACGGAGAGGTGAGAGAGAACTGGGGAAGAGTCAGATCCGAGAATCGAATTGTTAACGCAATAGTGATCCAGAGAAAAACCCCGAGATTAAATCGAGCAGGAAAGGAGACATAATTGGTGGATATGGAATGAGTTCTCTTGCCACGAATTTCCATTCAAGGGAAAGGTAAAGAAATTTGTCTAGACCGACAATCTGAGAACTGACTAAAGCCCAAGCGAAATTGCCAGTTTTAGTACTGTACAGTCCTTTGCTAACAGTTTACATCCTTGTCATTAGGGTGGTTGTGTACCATTGTAAAGCTGATACCCTTAGCCTTCATCAAACTATGTTCAGCTGCATTTGCAACGATATTCTAAATTCCACCCGGAGACCCTATTCTAGACCAAAACACTCGGATTTGTAGACCCGACCTCAGACTAAACTGTGTAAAAACCCTGGCTCGGGGACAGTAGAACATAATTTTTGGTGCCAATTAAATTTTTGTTTTCTCGATTTGAAGTTCGTGAAAGCAGTTTTACCAAATAAAAGTTTCATTCATATTTTCTCAGTACATGAAAAAACGAAAAACGTATGCATATTTATATATGTTTAGGGAGCTGCATAACTCGACAAGTTTGATCAGTTAGAAAGAATTTTTCAGATTTTCTCTCATTTCTCTCATTCAGATAGTGGAGAGAGGCGCGAAATGGAGATCGGAGAAAAAAGGCAGAAGAGGGGGAGTGGAGGGAACAACATCATTTCTCTCCCAGCCCCCCCAACCCCATCGCTGTTTTTCTGCTCCTTTTCTTTCTGAACCCCATCAATCACACGAACGTGGGGGAACCCGGGCTGTCCATAAAATCCCCCCCTTCAAGCCCATCGCTGTTTTTCTGCTCACTTTTCTTTGCGCTGTCCCTACTTTTTAGGGCCTAGTTACATGAAAGTGAGGGAACGCGGGCTGTCCAGTTAATCCCCCCCTTCAACCCCATCGCTGTTTTTCTGCTCACTTTTCTTTGCCCTGTCCCTACTTTTTAGGGCCTAGTTACATGAAAGAAGGGTGTCCAGGGAACCCCATTGCTGGCTGTCCATTTCTTTGCCTGTCCCCTTTTTCAACCCCATTTTCCCCCCCTTCAACCCCATCGCTGTTTTTCTGCTCACTTTTCTTTGCACTGTCCCTACTTTTTTGGGCCTGTTTACATGAAAGTGAGGGAACCCGGGCTGTCCATTTAATCCCCCCCCCTTCAACCCCATCGCTGTTTTTCTGCTCACTTTTCTTTGCACTGTCCCTACTTTTTTGGGCCTGTTTACATGAAAGTGAGGGAACCCGGGCTGTCCATTTAATCCCCCCCCCCTTCAACCCCATCGCTGTTTTTCTGCTCACTTTTCTTTGCACGGTCCCTACTGTTTTTTTGGTCCCCTTTTTGGGCCTGTTTACATGAAAGTGAGGGAGGGTCCATTTAATCCCCCCCTTCAACCCCATCGCTGTTTTTCTGGCTGTCCACTATTTTGGGCCTGTTTTAATCCCCCCCTTCAACCCCATCGCTGTTTTTCTGCTCACTTTTCTTTGCGCTGTCCCTACTTTTTTGGGCCTGTTTACATGAAAGTGAGGGAACCTGGGCTGTCCATTTAATCCCCCCCCCCCCCCTCAACCCCATCACCGTTTTTCTGCTCGACTTTTCTTTGCGCTGTCCCCACTATTTTGGGCCTGTTTACATGAAAGTGAGGGAACCCGGGCTGTCCATTTAATCCCCCCCTCCTTCAACCCCATCGCTGTTTTTCTGCTCACTTTTCTTTGCGCGGTCCCTACTTTTTTGGGCCTGTTTACATGAAAGTGAGGGAACCTGGGCTGTCCATTTAATCCCCCCCCTCAACCCCATCGCCGTTTTTCTGCTCACTTTTCTTTGCGCTGTCCCCACTATTTTGGGCCTGTTTACATGAAAGTGGGGCAACCCGGGCTGTCCATAAAATCCCCCCCACCTTCAACCCTATCACTGTTTTTCTGCTCACTTTGCGCTGTCCCCACTATTTTGGGCCTGTTTACATGTAAGTGGGGTAACCCGGGCCATAAAATCTGGCACTTTTATTTGATCACGTTTACATGATAGGTGGGGTGACCATATGAGAGATTACGGGTTACCTCACCTACCTGGGGTCCCCGACCTTCGGGTAAACAGGCCCTTAAACGCCTGGAACAGGCTTTATTCATAACTGAGGAGGCAGATAAACTATACCATCAGGTGTGCTCGCTCCTGGTTATGGATTCCTGGTCATATATGGCGAGTACTATCCACTTTGCTGCTTCAAAAACATCATATGAGCAACCATTGACTATGACAAAGTTTTCCCTTTATCTTTTATAGTTCATTATATTTCAGTGGACTTGCTGCATTCTCTAGCGTTTTCTAAACACTCTTTACCTAGCCACATCTACAAGCAACATCCAACCTCAAGAAAAATTCAACTTTTATTTAGTAAAGTGGTGAAAAAGGAGCAACACTATTTGAGAGAACTACAAGTGAATGACAAGAATGATCGCGACGAATTATTACTGTACATAGCGATAACAGACGAAGCAACATCTGAAAGATTTGTGTTGGATTTGTGAGGGGAAAACGGAGTGTTTAGCTATTGGAACGAATCCTTGAAATTTACTATTTTCCAAAAGATCTTCTTGAAAAGTCCATGAAGAAAATGCTTAGTGCTCGCAAGTTTTCGTGGACATCGGAATTTGTTAAGTGATGCGAGTAGATACACGCGTGAAAGTCGCGTGACTTGGTTTAGAGAGGTTTCCACACGCGGGAAACTCACGCAAGCACGCTTTCATACCTTATTGGCTACAACGTGGTCATGCGATTTCAAGTCAGTAATTAAGTTTAGCTAGGGTAAACAGAATCAACTGCGAAATTGTTTCTGTTTCGCGCTTCAAAAAAGCTACTTAATGAGCATTTTCCAGCTCTTAACTCGAAAGAGCATCGTTTGTGTCTTTTCTTCATTTGTTTATTTGTAGCGCAAGTGATTTCAATTTGATGACAGTCAAATTTGCGGAGCCAAAATGCTGTGAAGTCTGACCCACATACTTGAGAGCAGAGAGTCATGGCAACACATTTGCCATAGGTATCAGGATCTTCAAATTGAAGACACGTCCGACTAATTTGAGAATTTCAATTATAAAATCGATAAATTGATAAAAATCTCTACACTAAAGGTTCTTCAGTTAATTTTCAGTTCCATAAAATGTCAGCACCCATTTTAAAAGAACACCCGAGCACCCACTCGCTAAACACGGGATCTCGGGATTTTCATAGCCAGCATTTACTTGAACACGTTGAGTAGCAGTCTCTTCAGCGGCTACTTGTACTTTTTTCTTGATGTTATTTGAATTATTATCGACTAAAACACTTTTCTTCCCTACAGATGGTGTTTCTGTACTTGTGGATTTAAATTTCTTTTTCTTAAGCGTCTTCACGAACGCTCTTTGGAAATCGTTGTTACTATCAGTGACGAGATCCTCCTCGACGTCAGGCTCTTCCTCGCGGGATGTCGCGCCACTGCCCGATCCCTCGGGATATGAAGTGTCCTGTTCTTCGCCTTGGGAGCCATCGTCAAGGTCTTCAATATTGTCTCCACTAGCAGACCCATCGACATATAACCTATCCCTCGGGTATCCCTCGCCACTACCAGACACAAGCCCGCTTCCCGATTCCTCGGGATAAGCGATTCTACTTCTGTCATATACGTATTCTGTAGTGCTCGCAACATCGCTTTCTGTGAGGTTATACAGATCATCAATCACACTTTGTTCACTCATTTCTGAACTGTTGTGATGATGAACATGATCTCTCCTGACGCCCGGTGGATACGGAAAGTCTACATGGTCATTCTGTAAAATGAGTCAATAAAATAGATAAAAGTTTCAACAAGACATTTTCACGGTGTTTTTTTTACGACGAAATACTCCTTGCCAGACCCTAGACTAGATTTAGTAAGGGTTTACTCCCTTAAAAGCTACGTTAAAACAGACAACAAAGCGGTGAAAAGCGATATTGTTTAGTACGTATGTGAAAGGGGTGCCGTTTACCTATGGAAGGTATACGAGTCCTCCCTGGGACTGTTATTTGCAGCTCTCTGTTTTCTTGTTGCCGCTTAAATGGCAAGTGATAAGAGCAAAAGATATTCATAGTACCTGGAGCCTCATCTGCTGTACTTTAGCTTGTTGCTGCTTGGTCTGGTCATCTATGACTTGTTCTTCTAAGTCTTCCACATCTGTGTCTTGTTTGCTGGTGTCCAGATGTAGAGTCCCGTAGCCATTCAGTACTCGGTCACCAATCTCATTTAGCGGATTGTCGATTATCTTAAGCTGCCAGAAGCCACGCGGATTCTCACCTTGGTGGAGCGACAAATTGAACTGGATCAATATAAGATTCTAAGAAGCTGCCCACGCACCTACCCCTCCCCCAACCCAACAATTTTGCCCTACATGAAAAGTTAGTTTCAACGTTGGTTTAGGGGAGGGGTAGGTGGGCAGATTCCCCGAATCCAGTAAAATTCGCCTTTAGACATCAAGGCAAGACGCAGTGAAGACTCCCTTACACGGCTATTTAATGCCACTCTCAGTGGTGTCCCTGATTAGAAAGAGTTCACCATATAAAAACATCTCTTTGTGTACGGACACCCTCTAAGTTGGTCCCTGTCGTTCTTATGTAATGTCCCATAAGGGGGACATTCCTCTAAGATTGCCTCTTAGTTCAAAGCCCAATAGTGCGCATGTTTAAGACAACTTTCCACACAGTCAACTCCTTGTGTATGGACACATCTCTAAAACACACACCAAAAAGAACTGGGTCCTCAATGTTCTTTGATTATTATTATTTAATATATAGACGCGAGTGTTTTACTGGAAAATATACCACTCGTAAAATTCATAAAAACTACATCCGGGACCCGAGTGGTTTATTTTCCATAATCTCACACGTGAGTTTATCGATGACGTAATTTCGGTAATTTCCCTCCAAAATTTGTAGGCGTCTTGCGTCCTTTGAATTTTAATTACACATTTTTCAAAGCTTTGCTTATATTTTGTCAATGTAGAGCCCTATTCAGCTCAGTGTCATTTCTCAAGATTATTGTGAACAATGTCTTATATTGCTGTATTGCAAATTTGAGCCGTCACAATTACTTTTTGGCAAATAAAAATCCATTATTTTATCGATGTCTTTTTGTCTGTATAATAAAAAGAACATTACACGGCGGGTTGAAGATATAAATTTTATTTTCTCGTGGCAAAAACAATATTTACTCACTCGCGGATAATGTTTTGCCTCTCAAAAATAAAATTCATATCTTCGCGCCACCGTGTAATATCCTCTATTTATTAGACTCTCTATAATGCAGGAGTGCCTTTTAATACAGAGAGTGCTGGGGTGTCTGTCTTGAATACAGCCACTTGGTTCAGTATCAAAGGTGTCCGACTTAGCGAGAGTCCACAGTCCTCTCAAAAAATATCACTTACCCCAAGTGTGCACCGTCATAAAGCCCCAGTTATCAAGTCCCTCCTTGGAGTCGTCATAGTGACGTGTGGACAGCATTTCGTTCTTTGTTCCTGACGGCGACATCAAAAGAACACTGACGTCACCGCGCCTCCGGTGAATGAAGCTGATGGTCAGCACTACATGCTCAAGTTTGTTTATCTCGGCCACAGTTCCCGCGCACGCTTTGGTGGGTATAGATAATTCCAGCGCGCCTCCTGAAGGAATGTCCCTGGGAAATATACGAGACCAATCATGCATGATTACATGAACTAACGGAAATGAAGGCGTAAGCATTTTCATACGAAGTTTGGAGAGGGGGAAGTGAAGGGGGGTTGCTAGGAGGGGACATACACAAGACAGGAGTTCCTTTCCCCGGCCTTGATTTCCAAAGGGATAGGGGGGTAATTTTTGAGTGACTATGGGGCTACGTCGGATTGGTATTGATTTATTCTCGATAGACCTGCGTTCATCTCCTCGGCCATACTTGTAAGTAGTCAACTGGTTTGCCTACGGCCAATTAATATTCTTACTTGTACTTGTTTCTGCCCTTATTATTCATTCAAAATATTTCTCCGTTTCTGATTGGCTCAATTTCCACGGCTAATTCTTTAGAACCAGCTTGCGTTGACCAAATTTGGAACCGAAGACGTTTCCAATATACGATAAAATGACGTCAATAGTACAGATTAATCGCCAAAAAACAACGGCAACAGAGAGGCCCTGGGGATGAGGTTGTGTTCTTTTGGTAGGGCGGTACAAAATGGCGGAACATTTCACACGTTTCGCGAAGAAGAAATAGCCGAACTACTTCCTAAAACATAGCAAGAACAAAAAGAATACAACTCGACGGATGACCGATAACAGCTTCCGAGATCTCTATAATTCTTCACATCATACAAAAGCCGAATCCAATAATTGCCAATGTAGGCTATAGGAAAGTAAACTATCTCACCGTTCTTCCAAACTTGCGGCTCCTGTACAGATTCTTTGAGGTGGAACAGTCGTCCAGGTTTTGGCCATTTCCACCATAGCATCAGCATCAAGGCGACCGAAGCCGAACTTGTGATTAAAATGAAAACCAGCTCCGTTGGTTCTCCAGCCATCATCCACAGGACTCGTCAGCTTGGCTGTTCTGACAACAATGTGTTGTACATCTCGCCACGTCAGACGGTTACTGCAAACAAATGAAGTGTTCAATGAAAACAACGCGCTATGATTGGTTAGAACGGATTCATTACGTTGCCATTAAACACTTGCCTAACCTAAAATCAGACCAATTCTTGAAGCTTTTATACATTCTCTTTTACGTAGTGTTTAAATTACCAGGTTTCATTTTAATGGTGACGCCATAGAAATCGGCCATTTGAATGATGGCGTCATTTCACTACTACGTCCAGAATCCTTTTCATTTTTCCTTTCACGTTTAAATTTGTTAATCCCAGCGAGGGTCAAATAAAAAAAGCCCTTATTTGCACAAGAAAGCAAAACCCTGAAGGATTCTGGTCTTAGCAGTAAAATGACGTCATCGTGCAAAAGGCCCATTCATCCATAGACTCAAAAATTTGAACCTAATTATACAGTATAATGATAGGCGGGGTACCATCTTCAAGCACGGCTGAAGATAGGTTTCAGTTGAATGGTCACACCATAGGATTTCATTCACAGACTCACCTTACATGTCTCAACAAATAACTCCGCTACAACGCTACAAACACGTGCAACATTAAAAACGCCAGCAAACAAACAATACGGGTTATATGCGATAAACTTGGGAAAGAGGGCATCCTACTCTAGCCTTGTAAGTCCGAACTAAACACCTTCAAATTGGACTGAGAAATGAAATGCTTACTTTGCCTCTAACATGAGGGCTATCATTCCTGCTGCTAGTGGAGCTGCAGATGAGGTGCCTTTAAACTGTTCTGTACATTGATGATGAAGATCAGTTGTAATCTGCAATGAAATGTCACCTCATTAAACTCACAATGTGTCTCTGTACTTTGTCCTCACTCAATTTTTCACTCGGCTTTTCACATTGAAATGGCAAAGCAAAATCAGTTTTCCTAGTCCCTACAATATTTAGACTACGAGAAGTCTCTCTTTTTTCTGTAGTCTGTCGAGCAAACCGCTAGACACGCAAATGGCCACGTGCGTAACTGATGGCAGAGGCACGAAAAAAGAGTCTTTTTCTTCTAGGGCTGCCGCCCTCGTTTCACGCGCCTCGCGGCTTCGCCGCTCGCGCGCGTGTGCACTTCCCTTACTAAATCTGAAGAAAAAGAGAGACTTCAAAGACATCTTTGAGCGACACACGTCAACCGGAAGTGAGGTGTTTTTCATTTTAAAGTACCTTAAAGCAGCTGTATCACGAAATTCAGCCAAATTAGGAAATTACAAAATGCCCGTTAAATTAAGAGAAACATAAAAATAACTGCTTAAAACTTTAAAGAAAGGTTTGAATAACATAACAGAAACAACAGATGCCAGGGATGGGCAAAACTGAAGAAGATTGAAACGGATTGAAATTAGGGTTTTTGAAAACTGTTCAGCCTAACAGTTTTTCGAAGTTGATCCCTGCTGCTTGCAATTTCAAATAATAATGCTCAGGAGGCATATTTGTTTACCTCGGACCTCTGATTTTGTCATTTACATGTAATTTCTTTGCTTACTTTAAGTTCCATATCGATTGAGGGCGAGTAATTGGCAAAATTAAACAAAATGAACTGGACTGCCGTGACACAGCCCCTTTAACGCTACCAAATTTGTATTTCTATGTGTCTTGACTACTACAGAGACAATTTGTCCACAAATTTGGGCAAAACTATCGTCCAAAAATGAAAAAAAAGACCACTTCCGGTCGACGTGAGTTGCTCAAAAACGTCAGGCTGTATAGGTACCGTAAAATTCCGAAAATAAGCCCCTCCATGTATAAGCCCCTCCAAATATAAGCCCCCCAAAATTGTAACGCAAAAAACCCTCCGTTAAATCGCCCCTCCGAATATAAGCCCCCCGGGGGGCTTGTACTTGGAATCTGCCCTCGAACACAAAGTAAAACAAAGCAAAAATGGTAAATTTCCTTTCCACTACAAGCTCGCCCAACCGATTTTATAACGCAAATTTCCCTCCGTATATAAGCCCCGCCGAATATAGGCCCCTCCAAAAATAAGCCCCTCAAAAAGGGCCTTGAAAAATATAAGCCCCGGGGAATATTTTCGGAATTTTACGGTATGCGTAGCGCCAAAGGGTATGGGTTTGGACCTTTTTTGGTCTGAAATTGGGTGAAGACTTAAACCTTTCTGGTCTGAAATAGGGTGAGGTTTGTGCTCTCTTGAACCAACATACGGAATTGGGCATTTTTTTGCCTCGTAAGGACACCACCACTTCATGTCTGAAAAGGGAAGGAGAAAATCACGTTTTGGTCTGAAATAGGGTCCATAAACAAATTTCGAAACATGTTTCAATGGTTTAAGTGTTACGTACCATTTTGTTTTCTTCTTTTTCTCGATGGGCACCGCCATTGAAAGTCACAGCCAGAGTAGATGAGCACAGCTCAGTGTAGTAAGCCGACAGACCATGATCACCAATGCAGCCAACAGATACTGTATATATACTGGTAGTGTATCCATCGCAGTTACAGTCGTCATCTGTTAGTCCTCCATTACCAGTCGCCCACACATAAATGTTACCTTTACCTCCGCGACCCTAAATAAGACATAACAGGTACGCAAGACGTTGATGTATCTCTGGGGGTTTGTGCTTTTATCTCAAACGGATGGTGACAAAAAGGACAGCAGAACATTACAGTAAACCTGCCATTAAACAAGATAAAAGAGTTTAAAAGGGACATCATCACGGCTGTTTAGTCTGTTTTGTTAAGTTGAACTTAAGAATGAGGCCGGTGGAGTTAATCTTCGTACAGAAGTGTGAGCGAAGGAAAGAGAAAACGTCGGCGAAGCTGCCATTGTATAGAAAGACGAATCATATTTAAAAACTACTCGAAACCACGGAAAACTTTACGGAGCACATACAAGTCCGTGAACATTCTGCGTGCAAAGAAAGTATTGTTCAATAGCCCGGGGCTATTGGATTTTGCTATCGGGCTAGTGTATTCTGTTATTAACTTGTCCGACGGGCAAGTGAAGTTTTTTGAGGAATTCAAATTACAGAAGAATTGTGAAATCAACCTGCTCATCAAAACGTTTTTAGGGCTAGTTGAAATATTGTTTGGGCTAGTAAATGTTAGCCTCAGCTTGCCCAAACAACAAGCTGTAAAAATGTCTTTCTTTGCACCTGTATTGGCCTGGTCACTTATATAAAACTCTTAGTTTATTTTAAGCCAGACACTAGCACTAAATCTGACGAAAGGTTCTATGTAACTAAACTTGTAGAGTGAAAGTGAAGTCTTTTTGAAAGAAACTTTTTTGTAATTTGTTATACTATTTACCGTTTCAGCTCCTCGTTTGAGTGCCTTAGCTGCTAAAGGACCTGGCTTTCCAAACGTCTTTCCATCGTCTTTTGGACCCCAACAGTTGCTAAAGATATCAACATACTGAAGCTGGAATCCAAGTGAACTGGCCTCTAGTGCGTCTGTGGCTTTACCGTCCAACATACGAACGCCTACAACAATTGTTTTTTAAAAAAACTTTTGACTATTTTTGGACGTGGGATTTTGAGCACAATCGAACTTATTTTAACACTGAATCGAAGGGCAGGCGACATTTGAGCAATATTTTACATTTTGATCAAATTTTGAGCAGACATTTTTTTCACGGAAACCATATTAGAGGGGTTGACTATTGCATAACGTAGCAAAAACTGCACGCGGACGGATTTTTTGTGCCTTTGCTAGTTAGTGTTTTGTACAACTGTTGGCATGGAAAAGCACATGGGCTTTTCTGTTGGAAAGCGTGGGGTTTCTGATTGAGCTCTTTGACTGAACGTAACGCGAAAGATCGTAAGATTCCCCTAATACTTCAATAAAATTTGCACATACTAAATTAACAAACCTCGCGGTGAAACATTTTACTTTATCTTTTTTAAACAATTTTTATGCACTATTTTAAAGTTAAACGCACTGTTTAGACATTTTTAAAGGACTGTGAAGCGTTGTAAAGAATTTTACCCGCTCGATCAGGAAAGGCCTACCTTTCCTATCCCCTGAGGGTTGATTTCCATTGCCGCGCAATTTTTGCGTGCGTACGTGCCTACAATGTACGTTCGCAAATAAAATAGAGGCAATGTATGAAAGGTCGCACGTAAGCGTAAAAGTTGAACCTCGCTCAACTTGACATTTAATCTCAACACTTTATATCTTGCCTCTATTTTATTTATGTGATTAAAATTTACGTGCGTTAACATACGTAGCCAAAAACGCGTCAGTGGAAATCAACCTTGAAGGACGTGACTATCCTAGCCGTGGAACCAAGAGAGACATTTGAATAAGTGATAAATAATTTCACCACAATTTGGTCTCCGAGAAAAAAGATTAAGCAAGTACTTGCCAATTCGTTCAGAGGTTCAAGCTGGATGACAGTTTTGGACTTAGGAGAAACCCTCTCTTCGTAACGACAAGCAAATTTTTTGCGGGCTTCAACAGATTTCTTTGATCCTTTACAGAGCTGAAAACGTTTTCTACTGAAACATATAGTACTTTCTCAGTTACTCAAACTACGGCATTAAATCACACTGTGTTAAAAGTTAAATGCTTAAAATTGGCAGAGCCTGTTACTCAAACCACCTTTAAATCAGACTGTTAAAAGTTAGAACCTTAAAGCTTAAAGCTTAAAGTTGGCAGAGCGACAACGTGTTTTACGCTCTTTCAATATTTTGGTATTTTTGTTGTTTTTTTCTCATAATTGTGGCATGAGATGAGATACGTCACATGACCCCGAGCTGCAAAGGGCCTACTGTAGCGGAGCAGAGCACCACGGGTAATAAAATTTGGTTAAGACGGAATGAATCCACCAGGAAATTGAGTAATTTTAATTTTCAGTGGACAAAACCCTTGTACAAGAAAAATTTAAGGAATATTGCATTCTTTTTTTACATTTTTCAAGGGTTAAACATGTAATTAGTCATCTGTAATAACACCAAAACAACTTTCTTACGTGAGTGTCAAATTTCACAAGAATTGTGAAAACACAGGTAAAATTCTGAAAATGTGTAAGATGTCATTTTGTGAAATTTGACATTTATTCTCTCGACACACATAAGAAATTTCTTTGGTGTTATTACAGATGACTAATTACATCTTTAGCCCTTGAAAAATGAAAAAAAGAATGCGATACGCTTTAAATAATTCTGGTACAAGGTTTTTGTCCACTGAAAATTAAAATTACTCAATTTCCTGACGGATTCTGTCTTAATATTTATGCACCCGAGAAATTTTGGCTCTGACAGAATCACCCCTTCTGTAGGTTTGTCCGTTCGTACAACTGTACTTCCTCGTGTTAGCGGATGTGAAATGTCACAACTTGTACAGTACAATCTGTGGACATCCATATTATAGCAAGTTAACAGCTGTCAAAATAGGGTATCCGCTGACTGTATCGCGGGCTCAGGTGCACAACTCATTGGGCTGTGACAAAGTAACACGTGTCCAGCGGTTTTCATGAAAACAAGGTTTTGTGGGGTGCTCAGTCTCGTGCGCTCACAAAACCTTCCAAAAAAATTTGAATTTGCCAACTCATTGAGGTGAACTGTTTTTTAAGTTCTCTGCTGACAGGTTAATGGTTTTCAAATGATCGCAGGCTCAGGTTAAGGTGAATTATTTCAGAAAGAAATATCTTAAATGATCTGGCTAAATCTATATTACATTTACTACTGTTTACCCCCAACATGAGCTGAATAAGCTACTCCTGCCCCACAGATGGTGTTATTTGCTATGGCGGCAACTTCTCCTGCACAGCGTGTGCCATGGCTGCAAACCAAGAAAAAATTCACGGTGAAAATATGACTCCTGAGATTCACTAATAATTACAACACTAGTAAAACTAACAGGTTTAAATACATAAACTGTTGTACTTTGCCAGCATTGAAAACATTTACTTACAAGCAGCATTGTCATTTGGTTGTACCAATCAAGTAGCAGCTCAAATTAACTTACTGGTTAATATTGTTACTGTATATGGACAGGGACATGGGGGTTTATAGTATTGAGCTTTTTTTAATGGGCTATTTTGGTAATTTGAATTCCAATGTGCGGTATTGCAGTATCATTTAGCACTGCAGCATGTGTTGTTTTTTATCTTTTGGGCTAATGTATCAGGTAACGGAAACTCCTTCATGGTATTGTGGTAGCATTCATCTGCCCTCTCCTGTCTAACTCAGATCAATACAATATGCAACACAAAACACAGTATTATATAAAGCTATAGAGGTTAACAAAGGTTAATATTTTTAAGTCTTTACATAATAATAAATGAATTAACACAATTTCTGACTGCTCATCTACCATGAAATTGTTGTTGCATCCAACAACCTGGCTTTTTTATCATTGTACCGATCAATTTGAGGTTCATTTTGTAGCAATGGTTGAGGTTGATTTCTGGTGCATATATGCTTGAGATAAATAAGACAAACATGATCAATCATAAATGCAGTATTGGTATTTCGCTGATTTAAGACATGGTATTTTGGTACTTGCCAATTATTCTTACATTATTGCGGTATTGGGCAAGCCCCAATGTCCCCCTCTATATAATTTAGAACTGTCCTGAAAATTACCAGTTATCAGGATCCACATCACGAGGACTGGGATCATCATCATTATCATTAAAATCATGACTAGCTTTTGGATCCTACAATAAATAATAAAAACATAAATAAAGAGTCAGGTATGAAAAGAGGGGATGGCAACAAAGAGAAACTTCTATAGAATATCCACAGCTACTCCCTGGTAAGTCCCTTGGAAAGCTAATCAAACTGAAAAGTCAAACTCTTTGCTCTTGAAAAAATTATAATAATACTTAATAATACATCTAGCTGCAGAAGGAGTGTGTGTTAAGACCATGATAGTAAGAGGTCAAGCATCAATACTGTTAATACTGTTAAAAAACTGCACGTCAAGTCTGAGAGCGATATGTTGAAAAATATAACACAGGTATGGTCCGACAAAGTCCTAGGATGGTTGGTGAGAGGCAGGTTTGCTCCCCCCAACCACCACTGCTACACAAACAACAGTAGTCTTTCACAACTCGGTGAAGCTATATCTTTGCTCATTTCTGACATATCACTTTCAAAAATGACAAGTTCGCCAATACAAGATGCTCTATTCAAGGCTGTCAATTGATTTTGCTAACTAGCCCTTGTTAAAAGTTGAAAAAATCATAGAAGGGTCTGTTACAATGTATATTGAAATTTATAATAAAATTGTTAAAAAATAATAATACTTACATAATTTCCCTCTAAATCTGGATGGGTGTGATCCACACCTTAAAGGGAAGATTCAAATATGTTTGAAGGCTATTTTTCATTTTTTGGAAGTTCACCTTGTCTACTTTGAAGAAGGGTAATAAATGGAGATTAACCCATTTGCTCCTGGAGATTTTGCCGAAAAATGCATTTCAAAGCTAGTTGAGTGGTTTTCTGGTCACTGTCGTGCTATAAAGAGCTAAAACTTACCACAAACCTGTTTACAGGTCGTACACTTCATGGCCTTCTGATCCAGATGCAAAATATTAGCTTGTGAAGTTCAGGCATGTGCAGAAAGCAAAATTTCGAGATAGTTTTTGGGTTTAAAAGTGACACAGCAGTCTTGACTTTTACTTTTCACTTTCTCTCCTCCCTTCTTTTTACGCTTTTCTTACCTCATTGTTTTCTCTTGCTGGGCATTTAGTAGGCTTCATTTTGGTGGGAAGGGTTTTTAGGAAAGCTTTTAAGACCTTAGGATTAGGTGAAAGGAAAGGTAGGTGGGCAATGGAACAAGATTTTCGTGGAGATTTTCAGGTCAATGTTACATGGGTTTTGCCTTTTTCTCCGGTGTCGATGACTGAATTGTGCTCATTCTGGTATGGTTTGAAAGATCTCTTCAATCTGCGCAAGTCAGCCGACAAAGTTGTCCTTGACGGTTAAAACTGATGACGTCACAAGCAGTAGAAAGGACGCGGACCTGCATGAGCGGTTACGGGCAGCTCAGGGGCGAATGGGTTAAAGACCTTAATTTGATTTCCATAAAAGCTTTGGACTTCTTTTATGATGCAGAAATCTATCACTGAGTGGCTGCTTCAATGGCTAAATGATCAGACCAATACTTGACTCCACAAATAGTGACAAAATTGTTGAGAGACCTCCATAAACTGGGTATACATATATTTTAGAAAACAAACATTGGGCATCTGAAACCCCGTCCCCCCAGCAATACAAGTTTGTTAGCGTCAAGGCATAGCCTCATTGTTGTGCAAGTGTCGCGTCTTTCTTAAAACAGGTGTCTCTTAAAACAGGTGACTTGAACAGTAGTACAACATTTTCTTAAGGCAGGTAGGGAGGGGAATTATTTTTTTCTTTTTTTGAAGCAGCGATGCTGTACATGTAGTGTTGGGAAAACTTGAAGAAAGACTATGATGACATTTGTGTCTACACTAGTTATTTTGACATCTGGATTGTAACTGTGAACATTACTGGGGAGAATATTATTATTGGCATGATAAACATGTAATGGTTGCTTACCATCATCTAGTATAGAGACCACAACTCCTTTGCCAGAGATACCCTTCCTCCAAACTGGCAAAACATTAATATCAACTCCAACTGGGCCTCCAGTTTGGCCTTCATTAAGCTGTAAAACAAAAGGATGCCACACATTATCAATCAAGCAGGTTTGGTAACAATGGCTTGATTTTGGCCAATTTTAATTTTTATGATTGATATGTTGAGGTCCACATAACATCAGAACAAGAATGAGGTCAAAACAAAGGTACTACGATGAAACAAGCACAGTCAAAAAGGTTTATGTGTGCAATGCCTTATGCATTTGCATTCACTTTTGTAAGGAACATATAGCTCCCATATAGCTCCAATACTACTTACTACCATTAGAGGTGCATTCAAATGGGGAATCTGGAAATTGAATGCAACCTAGATTGATTCAACAACTTGCTAACCCAAGGCGCGACGAATTTATCACCTTGGGCTACAACCAGTTGCAAAAGTACTTAAGACACTGTACCGTATTTTGGCATAAATGGCCTGTCCATGATCTTGTGCTTGTGATCCCTTCCTACACCACTTATCAAAGTTGCTAGCAATACAAGACCATACTAAAATTGAAGAAACAACTTTGAATGGGAGGGAGGAGGGAGGTCAGTATTATATCTCACAGACCTGTGACCAGGAGCGATTTGCAGCAAGAAAGGTCATTTTTTCATGGGAGTGTCTCAACATTTTTGCAACTGGTCGTAGCAAAATGCCCTGGGAGGCTAGTTGCCTTTCTGCTACCTCTCTCTTGAAATGTTTGCATATAAAATATCTTTCCAATGATATTGCTTACCAAATACCACATTTCTCTGAACTTTGGATCAGTTGGTATTCCATCACGTTTGACCCTGTGAAGAATTTTTTGCTGTTCTGCCCATTTTACCTGACAGGATAAATATAATCTGTCAATGGCACGTAACATAATTATGTCCCAGTTATGGCACTAATGGCAGTCATGTTGCAAGTGAGTTAAATTATTAACTCAGGTTTCCAACTAGCTTAAGTAACGTGTGAGAGGAATGCATCACTCATACTCCTAAATTTATGGGCAAAATCTGATGGTGTTACCATTCAATTAAAACAACTTCAGCAGAACTTTTACATGGTGCTATTCATTTCTCAGGACTAAAGAGAAATAAAATTTTGTATTGTTTTTTTCCATTTGCCACTATCTGAAGTGAAAGGGCAAAATAATACAGTGAAGTCCACAGTATAACAAACCAACCTCCTTTTCCAGTAGTAGCCTATCAGTTTTGTCTCTGTTGTGCTCCTTGTTAAGTTCATCTACATCATCATGTCTGAGATGATAATGGCCGGGTAGATCCCCAATCTGAAAAAAATACAAAATACAAAATTTAATTAAGTAATCAGTCAATTAATGGGGCATTTCTAAGCTCCCAAAACACTTATTTTCAAAATGAACTCACGATGCATTTTAAAACCTTTTATGTGGAAATAAGTATCATTTGTATGAGAATAAAAATGGGGGGGAGGGGGGCAGTGTTCTCCCTAAAATTTAGCTCAGCAGGTAAGGGACCATTCATGGCCCGTAAGGCAAAAAATATGTGCCAAAAACACACTTACTTTCCTGGGGGGAGGGGGTAGTGAAGTGAGGGACATGGCCCCGCTCTTGCTGTGAAATTTAGAAGCTAAGTTCTCAGAAAAGTCATTGAACCATTTTTAGATCTATTTTATGCAAATCAGCTGTTGTCATCTTTAGACAACAATTTAAAACATTTAATTCCAATAATTTTACTCTGTCTTCAATGTTCTCTTTTTTATATGTTTAAATGTTTGGCCCAAAAAAAAGGAAAGCTGTGTATACTTTAGTACTTTTCTATATATTCATTCATTTCCTTGTGAGAATCAGCTGATCAGATCACAACTTGGGTAATTTTTAAAACTTCTGGCTACCTCCTGATAAGGAGAACACTGTGGGGTGCCAAAGAATTTCCACTCAGCCTTGCCTGGGAATAACTCAGAAAATAACACATACATATACAATGAGGTTGAGTGCAATGTTACAAGACTCCAAAAGAAACTAACGATACCAAAGGAGAATAACTGTACATTGCTTTATTCATGCAGCTTTTCTTTGACTGGCCACACAAACAAACTAAACAACTAAGACAAACTATACCAAGTAACTGGAAAATACTATTCAGTACCTTTCATTTAAACACTGAGACTTCAAAAACGTTACCCACACAATCAACGTTAGAACTGCCCAATGCAGCAAAATTAACAGAACCACAGGAACGTACTGCTTAAAATCTTTTACATGAAAATTGACACTTCAGAGATTCCATGGGCAGTTGAAATTTACCTGTTTCAAAATTTCATGTTTATGCAGAGAAAGGAACTTGAGTTGTTATTCTTATTGTATTCTTTTTGGAGTCACATGTATTTAATGTTTCATTTCAGATAATTTACAATATTCTGTTTCAGAGTGGTGATTTAGTGTTTCAATGTGCAGTAAACAAAGAGTTAAGCTTAAATTGGTGAAACAAATAACTGCAGACATAAGCTATCCTATTTTTCTTCTTTTTTCGTTTCATGTCAATGAAGTCTAAAAGCTCTACAAACATACAGCTCTTGAAGAGATGTAAATTTGTTCTTGAAAGAGCCTTTTTCATGGTAAGGGTAATTCAAAAGCAAACACATGCACAAGAATTGAGATTTTAAGTCAAGCATGGTGACCACCATGGGTTGTTTGGATAATTTATGATATTGACTGCCTTCAACCACATAAATCCACATAGTAATTGTTACCACTAATAACTCGACAAACTCTATTTTTGAAAACGCTGTAATTTTTCTTTTTACTACTAACCTGGCCTATGATGGAAAAACCATGTCTTTTGGCAATCTTCGCGACCACGTGTTCTTCGGCTGGGTCAATTTCTACTGCCCATGTATTCGTAAAGTAGCCCTCTTTGTCGGCCAGTTCTCTCTTCCAATCTCTCGTGTTGTTCCAGCTCGGGTTAATTTGCGGTCTACCACTTGATTCCGTCCAAAACACGCTCAAGATCGCCGCTATCACCAGGCAAGCTCTTGTCAAGAAACAAGGCCCATTTCCCATATTTTCGTTCCGATAATCGACGATCGCTTTCGGGAAGGCATTCGAAAAGGAATCAGCCCATGGATGACAAAGCAATTAAATCATTTATGTTGACAAACGTAGGCAGGTACACGGCCGGGTGCATTTCTGTTGCTGGCTGGTGGTTTGATTCACTCTCTTTCCTTGCTCTCGTCCCAGTTTCACGGTCTTCTGCCGACATTTCACGTGATAACGAATTCGACGTGGTACAAGAGAAGACATAGTTCTGGTTTTCACTCTCTAAAAGTCTTTTAAGGCATTTACAAGAGCGAGTTTGGACATAACCTGTTCTGTTTGAAACATTCTTTATAAGCTTAACCAAAATATCAACAGAAACGACATGACCTCTAAGACCGTCAAACTGGTAAGTTTTGATGTCAGATATAAATCCTTGAGCCTCATCATTTTGCCCTTCGAAGAAAATGCAACAAATTCAAAAGCATCCGCCAAAATCCGCCATTTTGACGATAGATTTGCGCATGACTTTTCAAAGAAAACCGCCAATACAAAGTACCTCACATTCATAAATCATCTGATGAAAAAGTGTGACGTCACCAAAAACAGTATGGCGATGAAATCTCAGTGCATAGTTCAAACTTCAGGGCTATAGAACAGCGTATTTTTAGGGTAAAATCCTCTTTTAGAAGAAGATGTTTAGCTGGTGGTCCTCGCTAGGACCTGAAAAAAGCCAAAACGATGAAAAGTCCGAGGGAAAAAACGCGGAAGGAGAACATAAAACCGAAGGAGATGTTTCAACAAGTGACGATGGAAGGGCTGCCGAAAATGAGAAGGAACAGCACCAAGAATCGGCCAGCGGCAAGACATCCGAGCTTGATTATGCGAGAGACATGGCCAAGAATGTAGGAAGTAAGTGGTTTTGTTGTCTCTACGTTGTGCTTTGCAGACAATAATAATTACTTTAAAATAGTTTCTCAGCTGAAGAGCGTATAGCGTAAGAACGTCGACAGTCGATTTTTTTGCCTCAGCCATTTAGTTGTGTTAAGTTGCGGTTTTTTCAGGTTTGCTTAAACGAAATTATCACCTACCAAAATTTGTTTTGTCAAATTTGATATTAGGCCTCTAAACTAGTTGGATCTATTTTATACATGCATCAGTGGAAAGTCCGATCCTGTTGATATTGCAAACATCTTGTTTGTTTTGCATAATTATACGAGTCAATAACCACAAAAGAGTTTCAATAAGCTTGTAGCCAGTCGCTTCTGCATCTGCTACAGCTGTATCTTTCTTAGTAGGCCTCTATCACCGATTATTTTGCAACAGAAAATGGAAAACCATCTTCTATCATATTGGCAATTGTAAAAGAACATTAAAAAAAAAGTTAAAAGTTTGAAAAGTAAAAAAAAAAATAAAATAAAAAAAGAACATTACATGTATTGTCTACATGTATTTGTTAACTGAACAGTCCCATTTATTTTGTATCTACCCCGCAGTCAACTCACTGTATGGGTCCATAGGCTTAACGCCATGAGCAAATTTTTCTTTGAAAAATCAGATGCAAAAATTGCATAATATTTGTACAGTACAGTGGTCAACCTTGATGTAACAAAGGGCCAAGGGACTTGCAAAATGTGTTTGCTATAACATGGTCTCGTTATGTCAAGGTTTTTTTTCATATATTTTGATATAACTGGAGTAAAGAAAATAGTTCATTATACATGTACCAAGGACTTTGTTATACAGAGGTTTGTTATATCAAGGTTCCACTGTAGTAATGTTTGTTTTGACAGCTTATATCCATACCCTGAAAGTTTTTATTTTATACTTTTGGTCATTGAACTCCTGGAGGGATACCCCTTCTGATGGTGTATTTGGGAGACTCCACTCATAAGTGGTGCCTTTTTCAGGCTTCAGACATATTAAAGGGTAGGGATTTTTTAAAGTATAAGAAAGGGTAGGGAAATTTGTAATTGATGGCATTTAAAAGGGCCTTTACAATCTAGAAAACAAACAATATGGTTGTATCAATTTAATTTGCAAAGTGCTAAAAAAAAGACAAGAAGACTTATATACTGCTTGTAGATATCTGAAAGGGGCATCATTTTTCAATGGAAGGTGTACAAAAAGATACCTTTTTCGGCCGAAATGGTAGGAGTTGGACCTTGGGGATGGAGCCTTCCCATATAAAAGGTTGATGAGTAGTCTCTCTCCTTCCAAGCATTAAATTGAGTGCTAGCCCTTTGTCGGATCAATTCACTCTTGATTCAATATCAATTAATATCAAGTAAATTTTGTCCCGTTTTCACTTGGGCTAGATTTGATTACTAGCACCTTTGCATTGTGTTCATTAGGCATCAGAGATCGGAAAATTCTCCGTTTACTACGTAAAATTCTCTGCCTAATGTTCGGTAGCTTATGACAGTTTTTTATTCAGATGTGGAGCCTCTTTCAAAATACTCTCATGTAATGTTACACCTTTCTCCTGCTACTAGGATTTTTAATAAAAATACTGCCTTTGAAGATGGCCTCTTTGAAAAGAAAATTTGTTAATACTGTACATGACAAACCATCTGCATTAATTTTGTTGAGCATTGGTCATGACAGAAAATTTTTATAAAAAAACTCTTCCACCAGTGCAGATCAGCCCCATCTCTCATAAACAATCTTCAGCATCAGCGGCCTCTTGAGTGTTAACTATTATTAATATTTTTAATGATTAGCAAACAAACTTGTTTGAGTGTACCAGTAACTCTGTGCTTGATGCTTTGCTTTTCAGGCTTCCTTTTCAACTTTGCCAGTGTTGCAACAAACACTGCTTATAAAATGAAAGATACAGTGAAGGAAACTGTTGAAAAGCAGGTTTGTGTTTAAACATGATTTTGTCTTAAAAGATTCAAGTGTTACCACATTGAATACCCATTGTGTATGACATAGTCACAGTTGCAAGACAGTAACGAGATTTGAAAGTGCTTCAAGCAACATATGTTTTCTATTAGACAGAGTGAGAAAAATTAAATCTAACAGGTGCTTTACAAAGAATTAAAAAACTGTTGACTTGTAACTTTTCAACCCTACAGTCCATTATTGAGGATTTTAACAAGAAGCAAGAAGAATTTGTCAAAGAGAAGCATAAAAGGAAAGGTAAGGATCAGAGCTCATATGAATAACCTGTCACTGGAGTATTGCTTAGTTTGTACAGGGTTGTCATTAAGAGCTGGGGGCCAGGGATTTTCCCCGGCTACTAAGAGAGTGGCCCCCGGCTACTTGTATTGGCAAATGGAAGAAAAATAGAACCAAAAGAAATCCCTAGCCGTTTGATTCCCCGCCTACTTGTTGTATTTACCCGGCAACTTGAAATCTTAGCGACAACCCTGTTTATAGGTGTTGTTTGTTCAATTTTTTATGGATAGTGTGAACTTTACTTCATTGTTTCAAAAGAAGACACTGTGGCTGAGCCAAAGAGCATTAGACTTGTAATCCTAACCCTAACCCTAAACTGAACCCCCAACACCCCCCACTGGATCTGGACTATGATTTAATTATTTTTCTTCAACTCTAAACAGAACATAAATACATCTTTCTGCAACTGCTTCACTGTGTATATAGCGGGCTCTCTTTTCTGTGGGTCAAATATATAACATTTATACCAGAATTACTTTTGACCATAAAAAACATTTTTCTCGTCTGCAGAGGTGGCTGTACCACCATGGGTAGGATATAATGAAGAAGAAACCATGAAGAATCAAATACTGGCGCTTTCAACAGATGAAAGAAACTTCTTGCGCGATCCTCCTGCTGGTGTTCCATTCCATTTCGATAGTGATTCCATGTACCCTGTTGCCTTAGCAACCCTTCAGGAAGATAAGAACCTAAATAAAATGAGATTCCAACTTGTTCCTAAGAAGTAAGCTATGTACAAAATTAATCTGATAAGTTTTTCTATTACAGTTCAACCTCTCTACAACGGCATTCACCTTGGGGACAGAAGAAAGTGGCCATTGTAGAAAGGTTGAAACAAGAGTGAATGTATGGACTGTCTTCCAAAAAACAAAGGGCAGTTGTAGAGAGGTAGCCATTACTGGAGGTTTGACTGTATTATAATCTATGGTTTTATAAGATAAAATTATATATATGCATTTTTTATTTTTTAAATGTCTTGATACTTTGAGCAAAAGTATTTTATGCTCCCAGCTCATTTTCAAAGACTCCTTTTTGCAACCTAAAAATATTAGTTATTTTAAAATGGATAACAGACATTAAATTAATATTGGTCGCCAAAAGAAGACTTTTGTTGCAATATTACATTAGAGGTTTAAAGAACCAAAATTGCTGCCAGACAATCACGTCCCAATGTTTAGAGCTGCATGCCACATCTCAAGTCCTAACACATGATTGATTTCTTGTTTTGATAAGATCTGTTCATTACCCAAGGACAAGGCTGTGCTCTAAGAAAAATTGAACGAGCCCATTGTGCTCTCACCCTGTGAAATTCAGAGTACCCAACATATGATTCACATGAAAAAAACTCAGACGAAGTGCCATGGGCCAACACGCACTGCTATAGTACAGCCTCAAAGGTCATTATTAGATTTTAATCCCATCCAATTCACTATATAATAACTCAATATAATTTGCAGAATTAAAGAGGACAGATTTTGGAGGAATTACTTTTACAGAGTGTCACTTATAAAACAATCAACACAGCTCACATCCTTGGCTGCCACGGGTAAATTTAATCTTCCTAAGTTCGGTTTATTAATAATGAGATGTACAAGTATTTAAATCAATTGATTTTGTCATGTATTATTATCAAGTTTGTCAATGGTTTAATTGAAAAGATTCTGTAGAATTTTGTTTGGTATCTTTTCTTGACTGTTACTACACCAAGATTCATCAAATTTTGTCTAAAAAAGTAAATTAACTACTATTGTTAAAAAGTCTTTGGATTGATTTTATTTTCAAGCACACTTTTTAGTTGTTTTTTAAATGTACAGTAAGTGATAGTAACTGCCATCACTTGTCAATATTTGCATTTTTTTTCACACTACAGTACAGGCCACAGGTTTTTTTTTGCATTATACTGTACATGTAATGTTTTAGATGTGTAAATCTGCCATATTCAATGCAATTTATAGGAGAAAATGTATGCAGAAAAATACATGACAAAATGCACTCAACGAAAGTGTGAGCAAAATTTTAAACAAAGAGCTTACAGATTGCATATACAAATAATAAATATTATTATTATTATTATTATTATTAATTATTATTATTATAGATGGCACTTTGTCAAATCATAACTGTGTAGTTTTTTAATAGGTGGAAATGGCCCTTGTGGTGGTGACAGACAATCATCAGCATCAGAAGCTAAGACAGCTGACACTGGTTGGTGTAACTTACATGTACATTAACTTTTAAACTTTCCATAAAGTCCCCCAGTAAGTTGATAGGTAGAGTCTAAACTTGTGCAGGATTTTTTTGCATGATTTTGGCCAATAATAATTTTACAGAAGTATTATCGTACTCTACAGACTGTCTTCTAAGTTTGAATCATGGCAGCCAATATTTTCCACATTACTTTTATTATTATACATTGTACTCACTATCTGTCTTCTTATTGGCTAAGAGCCTACAGTTAATTTTGGAAATCAGTGCAACCTAGAGAATAGTTAGTGATCTGCTACATATCACAGATTAGTGACCAATCTGTGGGGTGCATGCACAATGCATGATTTTCAAGAGTAATGTCAAACTGTGTTCCATACAATACTGCACATGGTTGTCCTTATTTTCTTCAAAACCATGTATAATAAAGCAATATTATTAAATTTGGTTATTGTGATATCCTAAATAATTAAGGTATCAGTAAGTGTTATCAGCCTCACTCAGCTTTCAGCTCGGCTGATAACACTTACCTCAACCTTGATTATTCTGGATATCGCAAAAACCTCATTTGATAATTGTTTATTTTTTTCCATGACTTCTATTATCAAGCACAAAAGGCATTCAGAAAAAAGAAGAGATGTAAAAGGCCAGGAGAAAATGGCTAGCAGTACACTTATTATAACTTGATTTGGGGATTACAGGCTAATTGTTTGACTCAGAGCATTTTTCTTAACTAAAGGTGTAAAGTGATAATATCGTACTATTATTATACATATTATGTATTACGATTTGTTCACTCCAAATCCCTACAAGCAGTCAGCTTGACTTAATGCTCAGAAAGTGTTCTTGTTGTACAGTGTGTGACTGATTTCAAGGCTTTGCCCTATTTAAGAAAATCAAAGATCCCTAAGGCTCTGAACTTGTGCAAAATGTGAAAACACTAAAATTTCTTTGTAACTACCCAAAAACAAAAATAGGAGACCACTGGACACTGATAGAGTGTATCTCATTTCTTTTTTTTTTTCAGAATCAAGCCAAAGTGCACCAGTTGGTATACCTGGAAAGACAACAGATGCACAGGTATGTATTTTGGCTTACCAAATTGTTTGCTCAATAATGCATCTCACTATAGTGTTGGAAAAAGAATTGATTCAACAGTCATGGCTGTAAAATTAACAGTATGGGTGAAAATCCCGATCACTTCTAACAACTTGTTCAGGGCTGTCAATAAGGGCTAGTAGCCGGCCAAAATCACCGGCTAGTTAGCCATCCTTAGCCGGCTACTTTCATCTCCTTCTATCATAACCGCTAACCAAAAATGAGCTCCATTGAATAAAATTGTAAAGCATCCGTGTTCCCATTTTGAGTGACATTGAACGCATATACCATGTGTGGAATGCCTGCGATATTTCGATGGTATTGTTCCCAGTGTTGCAAGTATTCTGATGAAACAGCATAGCATCTGTGGTGGTAAATACCTCTTGAAAACCCCTGGAAATGCCATTTCTGAGACTCTAAATTTCAAAATGTCCCCAGATGCCTCAGCCCTCAAAAACTTGTGCCTTTGGTGCGAGTTCCAAAGCCACCTACTATTCATTATCAGCCTACTACTTGAAAACTTTTTACAGCCCTGCTTGTTAAAAGATCGCTGAAGGCTGAAAGTTTTTATCAACAACAATACTTTTTCCAACGACAGATATGACACCAATAGCCCACTTTACAGTTACAGGTGGAAGTGAGGCTGGAGCTGACCTTGTTTTGATACAATCCTTTCTACTTTTCTACATGTAGGTAAGAAAAGGAAGGAGGTTTGTGTCAAACTAGGTCAACCGCAGCCCCGATCACCTTTACTCAAAGGCTAGGATAGTAAGCCAACAACTGTAGATATGTAAAATGTCGTGATAAAATACATTGCGGGTGCACGAGACTGATTCCATCTTGTCCGTCATCAAAAAGACGAGAAGCACATGAAGCAGGCATTGTTTGCTACTATGATTTATTTGTTACTTAATACATGGAAATTGCCTTGTAAAGGGCTTAGAATAATGCAGGGCTTAATTAAGTAAGGAATATTAAAGGCAGTGTATTCATGAATTTGTTGACGTAGCATTTCATTGCATGAATGGTAGTGTATTGTAATATCTTCTTCACATATTAATAATCATTTAGTGGTTATAATAATATCATGGTTTGCCAATGAATCAGAGTATGGTTGCAGCCCTAGTAAAACTCAGACACTCAAAAGGCAGTCAGAGATGCAGTGTTCTCCCTAAATTTTAGTTCAGCAGGTTGGGGATCATTAAGAACCGGTAAGGCAAAAAATATGCAACACAGAGGTACACTTTTCCGGGGGCAGGGGGGGTAGTGGAGTGCGGGACATGACCCTGCCCTTAATGGGAAATTTAGGAGCCAAACGTACTTCTTTAATTTTCGCAAACCTTCAAGCGGTTGCAGGCGGTAAAAAGTGTTGCTTTAGGCAGTAAATTTTACCTGTTACCTCCTGATAAGGAGAACACGGGAGATGTTCAGAAGCTTTGAGTCTTACAGTTACCCTTTTATCAAAATATTGTTTTGCTTCTAAAACAGGAAACACATGATGAGGATTTAAATGAACCTATGGTTGATGAAAGCTCAATGCAAAGTGAATTCATTAGTGATTCATTTGCTACAGAACAAGGTAAATAAATTATCTAAATATTTAAATCCCCTCATTAACTGTTTTACAGCTTTACAAAATGAAAACTATTTTCACTCATATGTGCATTCAGGAGTGTGAGGTGCAGGGTGTGACATCTTGTTGTGTTTCTTGTAGAACTAAGTCGCGATGACCTTAGACAAATTGGGGTAGACAAAAAGGATGGAGATAAGGCTAGCCAATCAAAAGCAACAAATGAGACAATACCAGCAGGTGAGACAACAGTATTATAAAAATAATAAGATAGAATTTTTCCAAGTACCGCCAGATGGACACGTGCTAAATTGAAATCAGCCATGGAGCCATTTAGTTGGCAGCAGTTAATAAGTTCAGCACTAAAGAGACTGGAGTGAGGTCTACAGTTACAGTGATGTGGTTCTGGTCAAATATGGATCCCCGCCTTATGACCACCCTGTTTGTACAACCACCTTGTTATTATGACCAAGTTAAAATCACTGAGTCATTTTATTATTTTGAAGACCCCATTCATGCGACCACCTTGTTATTACGACCAGGATTTAATGGTCCAACGGTGGTCGCATTAACAGGGTTCCACTGTAAATGAAATTGGGGAAAAATCGTTTTCAGGATAATTATTAATTTAATGAAGAGTATTTTCTTAGTAGCTAACAATAGGGTGGTTGTTTTGTGCTGGGCCTGCTTGAATGACTTTGAAGTTCTTTGACCTCAGCTAGTCTCTATGGTGATAAGGTTTTCTAGCTAGAGTGCCTTTAATTTAATTCCCCTATAGGCACAATGCAGTATTCTTTTTCAGTCAGATTGTGATCTTTATTGTGTTAAATTTATGTTAGGTGAAATTTAATCTTGCTCTATTTTTGTGTTTGTCTTTGTAAGAAACTCAAGATGACATTCCTGAATGGGAAAAAGAGCTTCAAGCAGAATTACAGGTAAAGTTACATGTATTATAGTGTAGTGTAAGGTTGTTTTAATCCTGGTCATAATTTGTTTACGCAAATTTTGATCCAAAACTGACATATTGGATCTAGCTCGGACAGAGTTTCAAACTAATGAATAACTATACGAAAATCCCATTTCCATTTCCATCACCTCAATCAAGATGGGCATCTCAAACAATCGTCAGGTCACTATTAATTAAGTTTTAAGCCCGGGTGATACAAGCTTTTACCAATAAAATTTTGACCGTCCATGTTGGTATCAAAAATAACATGCACACACCAATATTTGTCAATTCAGTTTTGTCAGCACTATTCTTAATCAGCATGAAGGTATGCTTTTATTGTAGCTTTTTTCACATTTTTATTGGACTAAATCTCTCTAAATAAATAGATGACGAGAGGTAAACAAAAAAAAAGACCAAAAGGTAAGGTGCAAATGGAAACCGGAAGTCCCATGCAGAGCACCTCCCAAATAATTAAATCAGTAAAAATCAAGCTAATGAAACTATTGTTGCCAATGGCAACCACAATTACTTGCAAGACCCCATGAACACAGTTTATCAGGGTCAAAAACTTATGCTAACCCATCACTGAACAATTCAGTTATTCTGAAATGTGCGCACTACATGCAGTTGGAAGGAGGGGGGGTGCTTATTTGAAGCTGGGGGTTAAATTTTTTACTATGAGAAGCTCATGTCTTCACAAAGCTTGTAATTTGCCAGGGTGATGTTTATTCTATACGGTCAACCATTATTACTATTCTAATATCTATATCATTAATTTTAATACTTATTTTGTTTCTTGTTAATTCAGGATTTTGAAGTTGTAGATAATGAAGAAAATGCTGAGTGGGAAAAGGAGATAGAAGACATGTTAGAGGAGGAGGATAACAAATAATTTGATAAATAGTTAACAAAATAATAATAATTAAAAAATAATTTTCACTGCCAGCATTGTCTATGGCGTAACAGATAATCCACTCAGACTTTGCTCCTATTCTCACATTTTACCCAAAGTCAAGGCTTTGGCCAGGCAGGTGTCTGGGTTTCCTGGGACCAAAAAATAACTTTTTTTCACATAGCAGCCTTAGAAATTATTGTTGGCTTATGAACTCAGGTGGATGCCTTCTTCTTATTTCCAATTCCTGGTTACAGGTAGTCAGAATGATATAATCAGTCAAACCATCAAAAATGGACTTCATTATTAGTTAAATATAATTTTTAGGAATAATCTTCTTACCTACTAGTATTTCAGCCTTATTTAATCCTAAAAATTATATTTAACTTTGTGATTTTTTTTAGCATATTTTGATCTGCTCCTAATAACCTGTCGAAAATGTGCCTACGTGTACCTCTTTGGTGTTCTCTTAGTGTAAATTAAAAAAATATATTTATTACATGTCCATTGACACAATATACAGTCATGTAGAGTGGACAGTAATATTGTTTTGTAAAAATGGTATTTAGTTAGTTTGCATTGTGCGGCTTAAGACTAACATTTTGGTTTACTAGTCGAGTGGCTGGTGACTGGTTGGATTAAACAACAGCCAATGAAAACAATAAGTATTTTTTGTAGAAGCCAAAGAGAAGTTAGTCTTAAGCCCAGCATTGACATCACTGGGAAGCATATTATGTATAGATGTCTGAGCATAATAAATCAGAATTTCTGATAGCTTTCTGAATGTGTAGATCACTCTTCACGATAAACTTTTTGTGACTTCAGGTGTTATAAAAAATCATGCTTGCGGGATAGTTACTTCACATAAGCAAAATGCACATCTCACAGTCCTGACACTGACTCAAAAAGTCCTGTAGCTGTAGAAAATGATATACCTTGATGAACCATAGCCCGTAATGTGTATGTTGGGTTTTATTATTTTACAAGGGAGTGCTTCCAAAACTGTGTGGTTGATCACAAATCAACCAGGCTTACAGGGTTAACAGACACTGGTGTGACAAGGAAATCAACTTATCCAGGATGAATGGACAGGACATTTTCCAAGGCTGTCTTAAAAATGGCGATACAATCCACTCACTCCACCCACTTGTGAACCATCCAAACTACAAGTTGCTATCAGACATTATACTTTATACCGTTTAACTTTTGGGAAATATTACCGGTACCTTTAAAAAAACCACCATTCTTAATTAAGCTGGTGTGTAGGTGTGTTAGTTGCATAACTGAACAGCATTAAGAACATGTAATGTTCTTTAATCTTTGTAAAAAAGATTATATTTTGAATTATATTTTTGGGGATGAAAGGAGTGTCAGGTGTTGTCACCAGTAGAGCAAAGATTTTACCCTCAATATCTACATACATGCAGAAATTCTCCAGACCTTTCATTAGTTTAGAGAATTTGGTAGAAGATCAAAGCATTTCCCCTTAATTTTACTGATCATTATATAAATTTTCATAACTTTGTCTCTTGATGGTGTATGCTGGGATAGTGTTAGGAGAAAATTGATTTTGGTTACTCTTGGGACTTGGAGGGTTCAAAAAAAGCAATAAAGTTTCTTAGACTGTTTGTTTGTCCATCTGTGTTACTTAATGTCATTGTGAGAGTAAACATTTTTATGCATTGGACTTCTCACCAAGCCCCCTTACATAATAGGGTCGTTTAAAGGAGGAAAACTAAGACACGACTTACATAGGACGCCGCTTAAATAAGACTCAAACCATCCCGTATAAACGGCACATTTTGTTTGAAATTTAGCTAAGATGCGTCTTATGTAAGAACAGCCCCTAACACCTGTTCTTCGATAAGACGCATCTTTGCAGCCCTAAGTCGCATCTCAATGTGCCGTTTATACGGGATAGTTTGCGTCTTATTTAGGTCGCGTCTACGTCCTATTTTTCCTCGTACAAATGGCCCAAATATTATCCAAGTATAGATTGTTCAGTCCACAAGGCCACCACTATTATTTCAAAGAGGGAGTGGAATTGGGCTAATAATTAGCCTTCCCCTGAAAAGGGGAGGAAAGGCTTTTTAGAGGATTTACGGTGTGTAAAGGCTTCAGGAGAAACTTGTTTACTCTCTTCAGAAACATTTTGACTGCACTCAAAATGGGATGACCACCAGAAACTCAATGATACCTGTATATTAATGAACAGTAACAAATCCAGACCTTTGGTGGGAAGGAGAGGGCCCACCCAAAGGGAGGAGAGCAGGGGGGGACCCACTTCTGCACAGGACTCTGTGGTTACACATTCCAGTCGTAACATCAAGAATTAGGCAAATTCAAAAACTAAAAGTCACTTTATGTTAATTGAACATTTTCTTTATTCTCGGTACCTTTATGTTTGTGTATTAGCATTGCTTTCAGGAGAAGTTTGATTTCCATCCCTGTTAAGTTAGGGATTAATACCTGACATGACCTTGCATTTTATTATTTGTCTGCTGAATTGCCTCTCATTTCAATTCTCTGCAAAATCATTCAGCTCCATCAAAGTGCTTGCAGCTAGTACATGAAGCTTCAACATCTCTACATACATAGTTACTGTATACAATCAAGTGAGAGGGTGTCTGGAAGGGGCCCCAAATGACTTAAAGGTTGAAACACACTTGGCAACAATTTGCAGCAGCATGTTGTGACAATAAGTTGCATGACAAATTGCCTCATGTACCGGAGAATTTTTGTGCAAATCTGTCTCTGCAATAGAATTTTGTCACTGCAACAAGTCACCCAAAATCAAATCAGACTGACAGAATTTGTGTGACTTGCTGTGCTAAAAATTGTGTTCTGGAGACAAGATTTTAACAAAAATTCCCCAGTACACACAAAGCGATTTGTCACTGCAAGGTGTCACCCAACTTGTTGCCTCACCTGTACACAAGACTGATATGTTGCCATGATGAATTGTAGTGACATATCGCCTAGTGTGTTCCCACCTTTACAGTTTACTGTAGACTACTATAGGCCTCCCTTGTGAATTCCCTCATAAACCAGAAATTTGCCATGAGCCTGGGAATCACCTAGCATCTCATTTCATGCACTTGCCATCAACTTCACACAAGATCATCAATTACCGGTGTGCGGCACGAAATTTTAGCGGGAGTTTATTTTTGCAGATTGGTGATTTTTTGTGTTGTGTGGGAACTAATTTTTGTGATTAGGAAAGATTGGTTTTTCTTGCTGGGAATTAATTTTTGCGATTTTCAGAAAGTACCCGGTACCGGCAGTATCGATAATATTTCTGTTGTTATTGAGTACGCGCAATAGAAATACATATTTTCAAACAATAAACCAGTAATTTGTTGTTTCTGAATGAAAGAGACAAGTTGTGATTGAACAGACACGATTTCTTAGTACAGTGTATTTATGTGTAGCGAATTTAAGTTCGAGAATATTTACTCTGCAGTCTATTTTTGTGGAAAAAATGTTTGCAGTAATTTTTGTTTGCTGGAACTAATTTCTGCAGAACGCTGGAAAAACTGCGAAAATTGGGACCTGCAAAAATTTTGTGCCACACAGTATCTTGAAATCATAATTATGCTAGGCACCCTGGATATTTTTACAGGACCGGAAATGCGTCTGCGCTTCGCAGGCTACAGAGTACTGGACTCTGTTAAATTTTTGTTGGATCACAGGCTTGGTTATTCATGTCTAAATGGTTTTTTAAAGGGGGCTCCTTTAACTTTTTAAGCCTCAATATCCACATACAAATTCTCCAAACTGATCTCCATACACTTCCTTAAAGAATGAGTTGAAAGAATTTGATAAAAGATCAAAGTATTTAATTTTATTAATAATTTTCTCATAACTTAATCCCATGGCATAGAATGGATATTGTTAGGAGAAACTTGATGGGCTATTGAGACTTAATAAAGGTTAAATCTCTGTAGTAATTGAAGGCGCATGACAATCATATGATCAGCTGATATGGCAAATAAATGTTATTTTAAGTCATGGGTAACAATAAGTTAACAGTTGACAAATAATACCTCATTGGGAAACTTCACATGCACAGAGTGGGCGTAAAATAAAGCCGGCTTGCACCTTTCTGTTTATCCACAATTATAACTGCTGTTATAAAAATGCTAATTATAGCAGCCATGTGCATTGTGCAACATCCATCTGCACCAGAAGCGGAAGCAAAGTCACTTGCAGTCTTAAAGTTGAAAATTTTCATAATTTTTGTTTTCATTTCTGACCCAACGTATCACTGAAACACTCTTGTGCCATGAACAGGTAATGAATTACTAGCCACACCCGTTAAATTTTCCCAAAGCTCATGTAAAGTGCAACAATTTAAGGGGCCACCCAGGATGCAATTTTACAAATGGTAACTCTCTCCTGAAAGTTTCAGTGACATTTCCTAGCGTATTAAGCTCACATCAGGTGCTTCATAGTACGAAATAGACTTTATACAGTGGAACCCAGACACTCCACAATGTGGGCATTTCATTGATTGTGAATACTCCCAGAAAAACTTCATGCCCTCCGTTAGATCGACGACAGGTTTACCACAAGAGTGACAAGCTACCCTTTGCTGACAACACGGAGAGGCAGCAAAGATGTCGTAACAGTACATGGTCCCGAGCTGGTGAGAAGAACCATCCCAATCTTTGTTGCAAAGTTTACATTTAACGCGATTGGGAATGCCTTCTAAACAATGCATGCAAACTGCAGTCAAGTATTGCGCTTTGCCGTTTTGCGAGACGTCCACGCAGGTCGAATTTAGTTGTCTCGGTGTTAGGAAGAACGTTCCATCGATAAGCGGATATTTGTCGAAAACCGGTAGTTCTCGACTACAAAGAACACAACTCGCCGTTCGCGTCTCGCGCAAGGAGAGGTTGGAGAGCACAAAATGTCGTGCGTCGTCATTCATTTCGTCTTCCATTTTAATATGATAAGGGTTCAACTTGTGCTTTGGTAAAACGCCTTGAAACGAGCTGAAGTCTGCTCTTTTGAGGAAAATGCTCAACACGTTCGTGACGTGCGTGGAAACGTTCACGTTTGAGTGATTGCCTGCGAAAGTCTCTCCAAAGAAGTGGCAGTTGTTTTCACTCGAATTTGCTCGAGTTTTCTTTGTAGGTGTTTTTGGGAGCGGCGAAATCGGCGATCGCTCGGGCGGTGATTCCGATAGCTGGCTACAATTTGATGACTGAGAACTTCTGCGAGGCCTACCCATTGAAGAAACGACGTTTACGGTTGGTTTTTCGCTGGCTTTCTTTTTCTTTCGCTTTCCCTTCACCTGGTTTTGTAAGTGGCCCACTACTTCGTCGAGGTTAGGTGGTTGATACTCAAGATCTTTTCTCAAATGACCTTTTCCGCATTGACAAGCACAGCACTTATAGGCCAAGTCATAGCCTTTCTTTGTCCATATGTTCTGTCGCCTCTGCTTTTCCGACCAGCTGCGTGCTCGTCCAGTACCTCTGAGATAGGCGAGGATTTCTTCTTCGAAATCGTCAAAACATTCACTGTGCATGTAGCCACTTTGCTGGCAGGCGTCGTTGTTGCAAATAACCCGAACAGAGGTCGGCAAATCGACCGAACTTTTTAAAGGGCAGCCTTTCGGCAGACAGCACGCGATGAAGTGTTCTTTCTCCCCGTCCTCGTGGTCAGAGGATGTCTCTTCACTCATGCTTACCCGGACTTTCTGTTTGTGCGCTTTCGAATGAGGCATCTTGAAAGCTTAGTTCCCACCCACAACAATGAGATCAGTTCCCTTTATTACCGCGTTCCACGTCCTCTGCTCACATGCAAAGTAGTGTTTCCTAATGTACAGCGTAGATTAGTCCTATTTACATTGAATGTCGTGACAAGGGGTGGGGCTTGTGTGACCACCTGACACGTATCCGGTTGGCGGTCTTTGTCGATTTCAATGGAGAACGAAGTCTCCCGGATGAATAGTCGCGCAACGGAGCCAGAGGAAGTGACACGTAACATAATTTTATGCGAACTTTTGTCTCGATATTTAAGTTAATTCTTTGTGTTCTTGGATCTCATAGATCTTTGTCTGTTTTTCCATCATGCAGTAACTCTTGAATTATCTTCCGTGTGTTTTTTTGTATCAGACCAAAAAATTGAGGCAACTTCTACATGGTCATGCTCGGATCCCAAATCTCTTTGCCGATTACTCTAACAGAGGTGAAAACCCTGAATTAAGCTTTCCTGTGGTACTGCTGTTTGCCCTACTTGACTCATATGAAACTGAACTTACACGTTACTGCTGGGTAGTTAACGACACGCAATTTAGCCTTTGGTAATTTCCCGATTGCACTTTATTGTATTGGCTGTATTTTTAACAATGTTTGAAAGTCCTTTTAATATCTTGGATAAGACAACTTTTAAACAAAAGGCCTTGATAAGCTGTTTTGTTGAGTATGATAAATCAATCTTTCGCGCGCGAACCAAACTGAACTGAACACCTGTTGCATGTAATTATAAACAAAACGTTTTTATTTTACAAAAACAGGTGTTTCTAAAGATCTTCCCGTTTCAACAAAAAAAATTTCCTTCAAAGCCGGAGTCTTTTGCATATACGTTTGTAGTATTTTCATTCCGCTTCGTCTGGTTTACTGTCAGCAGCTTATTCAAATAAAACCCACCGCCAGAATTCCGGCTACTCTCTCAACATGCTTTTTCTTTGTTCCCTTACCGCCCCACCAGAAAGCAAACAGTTGGATTTCCATAGTTCCCTTCGGTTTTTTAAAAGTCTTAACATTTAAAGTCGGTTCCTGGCCCCAAGAACGAATTGAAAGATTGCTATTTTTGAGGTAACATTAAGCGTAGTCATTGTCTTATGAAATCTTCTCGTTTTCCTTCTACCACGAGTCCGCCATAAAAAAGTCCATTCCGTTTTGTGTTTTGGGTCGAGATTAAATATTTTATCACACAGGGCACGCCAATTATTAATTATTTAAAACCTACGCCAATGATAGTTGTGTCGTGCTTCGTATATTCATTTCTAACTGAAAAAACCTTGAAATTATGGTTGTTTTGCCAGCCCGGCAACCGTTAATTATAAAAAATAACTTCCTACTTTTTTTCTGATTGTTAAATGAATAAACCTACTAAAACTGTTATCCGCGATCAGCCAAAAAAATTGTGGGAAAAGTGAAATGCTTATTGAAAATGAGAGCAATGGCAATATAAATTCAAGTACTAGTATATTCAAAGGCTAATTCAATTTTTAATTGCAAAGTCTTGTTATGCTTGTGGCCATCACTACATAGCGTATAGTTTTCGAGTTTGAGTCAGTAGTCAAATTTATGTGGCATACAAACGTGACTTTCATTTTTTTTCCTTTTCTGACAAATTTAAAAGCTAAAAACCTTTGATTAAACGATTAAATGCATTAGAAAGGCCCTCGCCCAATTTTGTAATAATCGCGGCGAAGAAGAGGCCAAAGAAGATATTTAAAATAATGCCGAGTTGCGATAAATAGCCTCAAAACAGAAGTTTCATTTCCTAAAACCGTGTATGCTCGATTTCTACAGCTCTCTTGGTCCTCGCCGAGAAGAGACGGCTGTATTCGCCATAAAAATCAGGAGAAACAAGTACTGTTTCCTAAACGAGCGCCAGAGCGAGCGCCGAAGGTACAAGCTTGTAGCGGGGGTTTGAGGTATGCATCCCCGGGAAATTTTTTGAACTTTTAACTAATTAAAGTCTCCTTTCCTCCAAACTTCTTTCCAGATTCAACTTGAAAAGTTTTTATTTATTTAAAATATATACATATATAATGAAAAATATGATCGATTTCTGTAAAACAGTGGAAACTGGTGTGGATCCAAGCCTGTGTCGTAGTTAAGTGCATTTTTATATTTTCAGTATATTGCTGACTAGGCTTTTAAATCTTGAAATGCCTCCTTTTTTGGCGCAGAGTTAGTCAAGTCAGATTTATTTAAGAGACCGGCAAATTAACAAAAGTCTAATGCTTGCTTACAAAAAAAACCCCTTGTATTAAACAGAATGATGTTATCGACCAGCCAGCGATACGCCCCGCCATCCACGTTGTACTGCTATCATAACATTTGTGTATTGTGCGGTGGACAAGTAAATATCAAGAAATCACTATCCATGGAAAGAGGTCTGTCTGGTGGCAAGAATTCAGCGCTCTCTACCTGGTTAATTTTTAGAAAAATCAGAGGTCGGTGCATCGGTGAAAACACAAACACCTGGCTTCATTAACTGATCCAATTGATGAAGTACAAATTGGCCACCCGAGCCAAATTAAAAAGTTAAGCTTAAGTGGGAGTTTCTAGCCCCATCGTCATGAATCTGACGGCGAAAAGTTTTTTACTTAACAGTCATAGGTTTTATTCTATTTAATCAACACTCAGGTATTTATTTGTCGCGTTGAACTAAATAAACTAGTTGGCCAGTCAAATTCCGCTTTATATACAGACACCGGCTTGAAACGGACTCCTCATTATTACGGATAGTTTGCTTTGTCTCTGAGGAAAGGAAGGCCTTACATTTTCTCTAATTTCAACCACAGACTACGACTTCCCCGCCCCCCCACCCGGCGCCACTCGAGTACAAACGAGTTTTTCACGTTACTTGGTATTCCTGTGCGCAGTCGGCTATTATTACCCAAACTTCTTTTCACGCCTAGCTAGCATCGGTGGTAAGACGAATTTTTCAACATGGCGCTCCCAGTTCCGAAAACGATGTTTCAGCACATGCTGAAAGAAGGAGCCAAGGTATGTGTGGATGTTTAATAGATGAAAGCAACTTATCATATTTTGTTATTCCTTGGTTTAAGTGCTAGTTGATTGCGATGGGATGTATGGGGTTGTGTGTTAGCTCAAGTCACCTCCATCACCGGTGGTTTTTGCACGTGCGTTTGGAAGTGTCAGATTTAACAGAACCATCACTGATAAAGTACATAACGCAACTGTATTAAGACTTAAGATTTTGTGAAGGTGACCAGCAATCTTCGGGAGGGTTTAGGGCTACACAACAGTGAAAGAACCCACTTTTTTGCTCGAATCACCATACCTTGGTTTTTTGTTGAGTTGATGTTCGGCACAGGTTTGTACAATGTACTTGTGTGTAAACTATATTTTATTGTTACATTGAAAATAGGGAGCAAGGGAAACCTTAAGTGAAAAGTGCAGGCTTATTTCTGGATTTATTGGAATTTGTTACATTTAGCCAACATGGTGACAGGGGATGAAACAGGGGTCATTTTGATAACACTTTTACAATTTATTATTGCAACATTATAATTTGCAAGTGAAGAAATTGTCTTAAAGTCTGAAATCAAAAGCTACACTTGTAAAGTAAACTTCTAAAAGTTTTATAAAATTGACCCCAGGATTACCGGTAATGCCTGTATTAGCCACAAAGCCCATGAAATGTTGTCTACACCACCATGGTCTATGTCCCCTACTCTTTACAAACAGCAGTGTGGGTTCTTTTCAACCACAAGAACAGTGAAAGAGCTGCAGACTTGCCAACCCCCAAGAGACAAAAATCTTGAGATTCTGAACCTAGAGCTGGGAAAAGAAGTGAGAAGTAGGGAAAAGTTGTGATATGTCCCAAATTTCTCAATGGAAGGACTTCCAGCTGGGATTATTGGCATTAGAAGTCACGTATCATTTTAAAGCTACAATCTTGGATCAAATGCATTTGCTAGGCATTTTCTTTCGATTGAGTTTGCTACAGTACCGCTCAAAAGTAAGTTGACACTCGAAGCTCAAAACTCGAGACTTGATCCTTGTTGGGAAACAAACCTTACTGATGCTCCTACAATTATTTGGAAAATGACTTTTCCAGAAAGCATGAGACATCCATTGTCAACTTGAGAGAGCCTTTGTTAGCTCCTAAAGTCTTGAGTGTCAAGTTTTTGAGAGCTGGCTTACGGTTTTTCATCCTGTTTTGACAAGACTAGAATATCTAACCATTTGAAGATGTCAGAACAAAGGCTGTAAATTCTTCTCTGTTATTTAAGATCCGAAGGGTTAGTCCAGCCAGGGTTAACCGATGGCAAACTGTCCCTGGTGTATGGGGGAGTGTAACTAATGTGAAACCTGTGAGCCAGAAGCAATTTTGTGAGCTGTGAGCTTGTTTTTGTGTACTATTTTTTGCAATATTTAACCTCCAAATAGATGCACTTTAGTTGTTTAGTTATTTATCATGTTTGCTGAAATCCTGGTTGGAAAATATACAGAACAAGTTTTGCTAAGTTTCTGGATTACTGCAAAGCAGATGAATGTGTTTTAAATAACAATTATTTAACATTATGTGTGTTTTTATCAGCATTACTCAGGTCTTGATGATGCTGTTTACAGAAACATTCAAGCCTGCAGAGAGCTTACACAGAAAACAAGATCTTCCTTAGGACCAAATGGTAGGCATTGATTTTTTTAAAATCACCTTTCTGGTTTTTATACCTATAATTGTCTAAGATGATTTACTCATAATGCGCTTGCTATTCCTTAGCATTAAATGAAAATTTTAAAGAATTCAGCAAAATACATAAAAATTTTAAAATGGGCAGGATTTGAGTTGAGAGTGCAGAACTGCTATATATTGTGGTGTGAAATAATGCATTGGATTTTGATGGCCATGCAGTAGCCCCCATCAACCTTCCATCAAACATAATACATGTAATTTCAAAATGAAGTGCAGTATGCACCCTATGGTGGGCTGAAAGTTTAGCTTGATAAAAATGTTTTGACAATAATTTACATGTATAAGTGCCAGAATTTCTGATTATAATCGTAAGTGATGTACTGTAGCTCTACTACTCTTCATCATGCTATTTTGTTTGTTCCAATTATTAGACACAAACTTGAATGCCATAGTGTTTAAATGTATTTAAGATGTGTTAAATAATGGTAAATGAAACGAGGTGAACATTGGGCTATGTTTTGCATTTGTCTACTATTATTTATGCTGCTGACTGTAAAGTTACTCCTATCTTGAGAAGTATTTGTAGACAATTTTTAAAAATAACATTAGGGTGTATTCAATTGATCAATCATACTTTCGAATAAAAATACTAGAGAAAAATCAATATGCTTTGGCTTTCATTTCATGGTTAACTCCAGAACTTTGTTGGACATTGTTAATTTAGATGCATGTAGCTTTCCAGTCATCCAAAAAATTTGTAGTTGAGATCTTCAACAATTTGTTACCTCACTAGGCTTTGCCACAGGCAGCCCAATAAAAAGTTAATTGGGTCACAACTAACTCACAAAACTTACAAAGCAAAAGCTTCTTGTGAATTGTGTTTGGCAGGCTAAAGTCATCAGTATAAAGGCTTGTCCTCCCTCATTCATGTATAGCAGTCTTGAGATGAAGCTATAAAAACCTTTTTAGCTTGATTGTGTAAGTTAGATTCATACTCGTGTAGTTTAAAACAGTTAATAATTAATTATAATATTAATCTTGTGATTTTAAAAGGCATGAACAAAATGGTTGTCAATCATTTGGAGAAGTTGTTTGTCACAAATGATGCAGCTACAATAATCAAGGAATTAGAGGTATGGCTTAAATAATAATATACCAGTGATACTGACTAGCAGGAACTTTTAACCTTTATAGAAAACTGAAATTAGTATTAATATGTAATATATGGAACATGTTGCCATGGAAGTGGCTGTTACAGTGCGGCACAAGATCAATAGCCCAGTAAATGTCTGAAACAGATAATTTATACCAAACTTGACAGGTTTAAGAATCCCAACTGACCGAAGGCACACCAGCTGGCTATTTGCAAGTGTTGCTGTGGATTTGATCCAGGGAGTACCAAGAACAAATGCAGCAAGTGGTCAGGGCATATTTCATCAGCCACCCTGCCACTTGTTATAGTTAACCCTTTTAGTAGCAGACTACTTAATCTTCTAATGATCAAATCTGCCTCATTTACCATTACACTTTCTACTATTACTCTTGCGTTGATGTATACTCTTACCATTTTTGTAGAGCTTTAGTATAATATCTTACAATGTGAGGGCTGAGCGCTCAAAATCTCCAGAACTGAATTATTGAGTGATCCTTTTTTTTTTGCAATATTATTTAACTGGTAGTTATTTTAGCCATGGTTTTTTTGTATTTGGCCAGGTACTGCTAAAATGGTTTACACTGTAGTTTAAGTTTACGTTAAGTTTTTGTTTCATTGTAAACTGACTTTGATACATGTACTACTAGGTTCAACACCCAGCAGCCAAAATGTTGGTGCTAGCATCACAAATGCAAGAGCAGGAGGTATGTATATCACAGTGGTGTGCCTGTCATTGTTAATAATCAATCAGGGATCAAAATACCACAGTTCTGTGTTATAATCGATGATGGAATATGTTGAAATAATGCTCAATTGATTATTGTGGAAAATAAGAAAAAAATTGCTGCAAATAAAGATATTGACACTGATCAGGGGCATAACATCCTTTACGCACATGCATACATTACTTAAGAAATTGGTAAGTTTTGGTAAGATTTTCTGTTATAAGTAAAAGCCATTTGCAGTGTCGTAACTTGACCTTGTATTGTGCAGATTTGTTCCTGTTTGTCTCGCTGTTATTCCGCAACATTTTACATGAAAAAAACAAGTTACCCTTTGAGTAGTGGAATAAGATAAATTTGAAACATTCTTGAAGTGTTTCAGTGATTTTGTTACAAATAGTTATGGTGAGTCCTGGAACTCATCTTTTGAAAAATTATGAGTCCCAGTCCAGAGCCATTGAGTCCCAGTTCAAAAAACAATGAGTTCTAAACTGAAAATGTTTGGGTTTTAAGTGACCAGGCATTTACTGAATCTGAAGACAGACTCAAAACTCTTTATCACAGTTTACTGAAATTGAAATATAGTCTTTCTATTAAAACAACAAAGTTGAGGGGACTAAACTAAATATGCATAAAGACTTCACTTCGTAATAGGATGACAGATGAGTGACTTTCATCCTTATACATAAAAACAAAGAAGTTAAATATATGTTGATAATTTCATCACTAAATTTGCGTATGAAAAGGGGAGGCGACTGGCCTTGTGCTTGTTAACACTCCAGAACCAGCTCAAAGAAGAAAGTTTTAAAAGCTTTTTTTAATATCATGCTCTATTGTAAACAAGCCGGTAAACTGCCAAGATACATTGTATGTATTAAAGAAAAGCAAAAAATAATGCTATTTTGTACAAAGTTTTTAATACCATATGGACCCCTGTGTGTACTTGCCAAAATGGTGATGCTACGCCCCTGCTCATGTGTTGTCTTTGTAATTGACCATTAATTAAGCTATGGCCCATTGATAACCCTTTCTTGATACAGTTTTTGTATGTTTCATCATGTCACATCATGTGGTACAATGGCTAAATACTTACTTGCTTTGTTTTGTGCAATAATATTTTTTATTAGTTGACTCTTGATAACTCGAACCTCGAGCTAACTTGGACCAAAATTGATTTCCCTTAGATTTGCTTCATACATTTACTATAATTTTACTCTCAGTAACTCGAACCCTCGATAGCTTGAACCTCCTGCTAACTCAAAGTAATTTTTGTTTCCCTTCAGATCATTCCTATAAATACCCTCAATAACTCAAACCATGCTTTAAGCACCTGACAAGTGGAAAAATGTGAACTACAGTCTGAAACATTGAAGTTATTTTAACAACCATTTATTCTTTGTCTTTACTTTTTTGTCGGTCCAGTTTAAATACAGCAGTGTCCAGCACTGTGTATTTATCAAGTTTTGCATGTTACTTGCATTCATTCCCCACCCCATTTCCTCCTTTCGGGTTATTTGCTTCGTACTCCTGATAACTCAAACTCCTGCTGACTCGAACTTTTTTCAATTTCCCTGAAAGGTTCAAGTTATCGGGAGTCGACTGTACTTTAACTTGAACACAGGATGGTGAAAAATGAATGAAATGTAACAGATGATTGATCTGTTGGGTTAATCTGAAGATTTTTTGATGTAATATATCAAGCATGAGATGCAGTGTTTCATCACCAGATGAAACACCGAGAAGAGAGGTGAAAATATGCTGGCAGGGGTGTATTTTTGATGAACTTTGAGGTGTTTCATCTGAATGCTTGATTTAGAAGGAGAAGTTAAGAATGCAAAAATGAGCAATTTTTCATCTGATTTCCAGACACTCAGTAAACATTAAGTTCCTTTGTATTTTCTTTATGAATAATTTTATTAATGAGTTTGGGAAGATCATTTATGAAATCTCAGCCAATTCCCAGCACTAAGTACACTATGTTACTGCAGATTTCTAGTTGATGCTCATTGTAACTGTGCAGTGCACTGTTATAAATGCATTTTTTGCATTGATGGTTGGTCTATGCGACATGAGGGCTACAGCTGTAACATGTAATTTAATTGAAAAATTCATTTAAACATAATATTATCAATTTATTATTATTTTCTTTTAATTTTTCAGGTCGGAGATGGCACAAATTTTGTTTTAGTCTTTGCTGGTGCTCTTCTTGATGCTGCTGAGGGGCTTCTGAGGACGGTAAAATTGGCTTAGTTTGTTGTTTGGCTTAATTTTGTGTTTGTAATAATCAACGCAACCTTAGCACGTGAAAGACTCCAGTTTGTTTATGAAGTATTATTATTATTATTATTCTACAAAAACATCTTCAGATCGATTGATTGATCTTTGTGTCCCACGAGATGCATGCCATGAATAATTTTGCATCTTTGGTGCTTTTTATGCATCAGGAACGCAGGACGCAGAGGTAAAAAAAATTACTGAACCGTGTATATTTCCCTAGGGTGACCATTAGACACAGGTTTGACTTGATGGGGGTCTTAATAGTACTATTTCTCACGGTATTGCTATTCCATATTTTCAAACATGCTCAGTGATAATGAATAATTTTGCCTTGTTAGGGTCTCTCCCCTCCTGAGGTCATAGAAGGTTATGAAAAAGCATGCAAGAAGGCTCTAGAAATATTACCAGGTATGTAGAGTGGTCAGGTACCTGTGCATTTGAGCACCTTTTCACCCTTTAAACCCTATTAGGCTGATTTAGCAACAGAACGGGAACATCATTATTTTGACGATGGGAAAGCGTGCGGAAAGGACTAAACTCGACTTCCGGTGCCCAATTAGCAGCTCTGTCATTGGTCAAGCCAGTTGTTTGATTTGCGCGTTCCGTCATCAACTGGTGTTCCTGTAATATTTGCAGCTAAGCTAAACAGTCACTTGCCAAGCCACAGTAGGTCCTTCTATTATGTTAAAGTGAGATAAACATGTGGAAACATGGTGGACAAGGTGCACAGGGGTTAGCATAGGATAGTACACACTGGCCATGCAGACTTCATTGGCTCAAAATGTGCCTTTTGAATTTCATTGTATGTTAATAATACTAACAATGATAATAATGGAAACTTTATTTGTGTTTTTGAATGTACAATTGTAAATCTTGCTACGTATAGGCAATTTACAAATGCTGCTTAAGATTGGATTATTAAAGAAACAAAGCAAAACAAAACAAAACAAAAACAAAAACAAAAAGAAAAGAAATCAAAATTCCATTAAGTCTGGGCTATTCCAATTCCTACATGTATTTCTACAACAAAAGATGTAATATGTTGCTCTAATGGCTATATTTATCATTTTCTTGATTATATAAAGTTGCTGCTTTTTTTCAATGTCATTTATCATGTCTAAATAATAATAATAATAATAATAATAATAGTTATTATTATGAAGTCGCCAGTGCTCTTTAAAAAAAAGTTATTATTATTAATAATAATAGTAGTGTGATATTATTATCATTATATTATTTCTTTCTTTCTTTCTTTTCAGAATTGACCTGTTCTAGTTTATCGGATTTAAGAGACAAAGATGAAGTTGCCAGTGCTCTTAGAACTGCAGTGGGTAGTAAACAGGTATGTTGTTGCTATCTTGTGATTGTATGCATAGAACATCAGTAAACTGTACCTATTATCTGTACCTTACATGCTCTGCTTTCTTGAAACAATGAACTGCTTCCTCTTACAGTACATTTTGACTGCAGTCTTGCCAGTGTAGAATTGTGTTGCGTAAGAGATAGAGATGACCAAACCACAAAATAGAAAAAAAGCATCTCTTTCTGAGCTGGATTTCTTAATGTATGAAAGGTTTTTGGAGGGATCTGAGGAAGCAAGTCACTTCTTATTCATTATTAGAATCTCCTTTTGAGCTCTCTTGTTTTTTTTTTGTGAAATAAAGGAGAATTTAGTATATGATAGCAATGCTGATATTGGATAATTTTCTTATAAATATAATTATGTTCATGCTTTTTTCTTTAGTATGGCAATGAGGATTTCTTATCAGAACTTATTACAAAGGCTTGTGGTAAGTAAAACAAGTGTGCAAACCGTTTCCTACATGAAGTTCCTAAATACTGTAAGTATCACGATTATGAAGTGGAAAGTGTACATTAATTTTTCACCTGCAGTATCACAAGAGAGATGTAATAGGCATCAAGTATGGACTGACTGTAGTAGTTAATCAGCAATAAACAAAAAAATTTGTTTTGGGTGCCTTGGTTGAACCTTTTTCCTCTTAAGGGAAAGAGCAAGGTGTCCATTAGGCATCAGAGATCGGAGAATTCTCCGTTTACTGCCCAGAATTCTCCCACTAAGGTTCATTAGCCTATGAATATTTATTATTCTGCGTGGAGCCTCTTTTTAAATATTCTTCGCTGATGTTACACCTTTTTCCTGCTACCAGAATTCTTATGGCCAAATTTGTTGTATCGCTGCGCATTTGCAAACTTCGAATGGGTTTTTCTGTTCCATCAATCATTTGAGTGGGGGCGGAGTTAATGCAAATCACAACTCGCCCAGCTTGGCCCACAAAAACAAAACTGAGAATGACTCTAGACTGCTCAAGAATAGCGAAGGAAATCACGATGATGAGTGGACGTTTTGTAGAGGGCAGGAGGCAGACATTGTTTTATTCTTGCAAGAGACTTGGAAGAATAAGACATCAGAAAAATCTTTGAAGAAAACTAGTTGATTATTGCCTGAAAGAGGGCGATCTCAAGCAACAAACGTTGAAAAACAGAAACAAACAAAGTGGATCGAAATGCATCAATCACAAGTAAACACGTGTTTCCTAAGAGGACCACTACGATAACTGACGGAACAGAAAAACCCAAAATTCTTTCTAAGTTTGCAAAACACGCAGCGTAATATTTATGAATTTGCCTATAATGAGTGCACTTTCCTTACTGCCATGAATATTTGTTAATTATGTATCTTTCTTTAGTAATTCTCTTTACTTCAACCTTGATTGATGATGTAGACTCTTGCAACTTACATGATACAATTCCTGGAATTTTCCATGTCACCAATATTAGTTTTTACCCAGTTTTACGTTTTTTAAAATCTTAGTATATTCTATATTTTCTTTTTCCTTTTTTATTCCTTTACCAAAATTAATATAAAATTTATATACATTCTAAGTAACCCTGGGAAAACAGCTGACATTTGGCGATGCTACCACTGGTTTCCCTGCCAAAGGACGTCTCAGAAACGAGCACAGAAATTCCACACTGGTGATGCGTCGCTTCTTATTGGTTGAATCAAATTTCCCATGCAGTACGACCAATCAGAAGCACTACTCAGATCAGGGTAGTGATGCGTCATCAGTGTGGAATTTCTGCTCTCGTTTCTCAGACGACATTTGGCACGGAAACCAGTGGCAGCGTCGCCAAATGTTGGCTGTTTTCTCAAGCTAACTCTAAATATGTTATTAATAATTTTTAGTTGCCCAATGAAGTAACATTCCTGCACATAAGTACAAAAGAAGAGAGCATTGTCTAACAACACAGTTGGAGACATCACAAATTGATCAAGTCTATAAAGTGGAAATGAAAGTGCTTTAAATTAAGGAGCTTAAGCTAGTTCAGGACAAATACTTATCATTTTTTTGTTGCTTTGGTTCTCAGTCTCCATCCTGCCACAGAAAGCTACATTTAATGTAGATAATGTGAGAGTAGCCAAGATTTTGGTAAGTTTGAAAAGATCTGAGGAAAAACCATGTTAAGCTCTTCACCATCCCTTAGATTATGCTAGGTTAGGGTAGGTTAACACTCCATCTTGCAACTGAGTCAGAATCCTAATCAGAAGCACAAGTATTAGGAAGTCGTACCCTTGAGTTTTCGTTGTACTCATGGCTGTATTCCCTAGGATCTTGTGAAAACCAGATTTTCAGGGTCAAAGAGAAGAATCAAAAGAAGGTCTATTGATTTTTTCTTCCCTTTTTTACTTATAAATGAAGGGGAAAACACATTAAATTATGCGTAATATACATAATTTAAAAGAAAAGAATCTCAAAAGATGAGGAAGTCTTAAGAAGCCACTTCCTCTATACATTAGATTTAGTTGTTAGTATAGTCATTAAAAGAGAAAAGAATTAAAGGATAACAGCTTATAATAAATTAATTTACAAAATGTATGGAAAATATTTAAGGGAAAGTTAATCATCTAATAATTAGTAATAAATTACAAATGATTAATTGAGAATTCTGTAAAATAATTAAATATGATTTAAGTAAACGTTTAAAGGTTCTTATGTTATTTGATCTAATTATTGAGCGAGTTAAGGAGTTCCACATTGTGTAGTCACTATAGGTGGGACTGAGCCCTAGGAGGGGCTGAAGGGAAATTGAGGTGGGGGTTTGCCACCTAGGCTCATATGCAATAGCATGTATGAGTTATCAGAAAACTTTCATTTTAACTGTATCTTATTTATGTATTATGATAATTCCTCATATGCAAATGATACTACCTTAATAAGATTGTTGTTGTCGTGTTAGGGTTCTGGTATTCATAGTTCAGAGGTTGTTCAAGGAATGGTTTTCAAGCGAGAGGTTGAAGGTGATATTAAGGCACTTAAGGATGCAAAAATTGTAGCATTTTCTTGTCCACTGGATTCCATGGCGACAGAAACTAAGGTGAGATGAGTTATTAGATAAAAAAATGTTTATAACTGTGCAGAGATCCAAGGAATTGGGTCAAATTCGCAGGCATCTAAGCATGACCACATCATGAAGTGAACAAACATTTGATGTTTTCAGCCTTTTTATCACTTTTTAAATAATGAAGGTCTGTAAATCAGACTTGTTGAAGGTTTTTGGATGTAAGTAGCTTGCAAATCTAGTTGTATTTCCAGTTGTCACTTATCTCAGCCCAAAAAGTGATGTCTGCTCATAATATTTATGCCACAGAAATGGTTTTGGGCTCCCACTTGCAGAGGTTACTTTTTGGTGAGAAAGAAGGGAAAAATTAAACTATTTCTGCAGTTGCTGGCTAGGTTAATTGTTTACCACATTCAAAGGGGCAATGTCTAATTAATTTCAATATTTCATATGCTAAACATGTGCTGACGTTGGACAAAAAAAATCAGCTACTTTGCTCAGAGAAGTTGGCTAATCCTCCCCCCTCCAAAAAAAAATCAATGAAAGAACTTTCAAACATCATTGATACAGTCAATTACACTACTCATACCAGTTGCTTCTTCTAAGCTAGCCCTCACGTAGATCAAACACATTTACTTCAGAAAAGAAGAGTGAGCAAAATGCAAGTTTAAGGGGAAAATTGGGGGCTTAAATGGTTGGACATGAGAAAATGGATAAACTGATGAAACACAGGTCAAAGGCAGAGGATGTGTTGATAACTAAAATTATCAAAAGGCTAGTCCTCACCCTTGGTATGTTGAATTATTTGCTCTCAATTTGTTCAGGGTACAGTGTTGATCAGAAATGCAGCAGAGTTAAAGAGCTTCAGCAAGGGAGAGGAAGAACACTTAGAAAAGGTAAGCTCCAGTATCTTTGCAGCCGTCATAGACAGATGAAGCTGATTTCAAGCTGATTTCTAAGCTGATTGCTTTCTTTGTGTCACATAAATCAGGCTGCCTTTTGCATGATCTTCCTGCATGAATTTGTCTGGTGGCAATTGTTGGAGTATTGTCATCAGGTGCCTGTATGAGCAAGGCTTTTGAGTCACTTAGCTTTCAGTTGGTCATAAACGAACTACGCACCATAATTTTTAGGGAGTTACCGTAAAATTCCGAAAATAAGCCCCAGGGCTTATATTTTTCAAAGGCCCTTTTTGAGGGGCTTATTTTTGGAGGGGCTTATATTCGGAGGGGCTTATCTACGGAGGGAAATTTGCGTTTCAAACTCGATTGGGCTAACCTAAAAGTTGGAAGTAAATTTACCATTTTTTCTTTGTTTTACGTTGTATTCGAGGGCAATTTTCCAAGTACAAGCCCCTGGGGGGCTTATATTTGGAGGGGCGATTTAACGGAGGGTTTTTTGCGTTACCGGTTTGGGGGGCTTATATTTGGAGGGGCTTATACATGGAGGGGCTTATTTTCGGAATTTTACGGTATTACAACTCCAAAAATGGAGTAAAAATTTTAGGTACAGGATAACCCCTTTTTGGGGGTTACTTTAACTCCTAATTTAACTCCAAATAAGGAGTTAAATTAGCCCCACTAGAGGAGTTATTGTAACTCCTTGAAAATTACTGTGCAGGCTTACTAATTCTCGGATAAAAGTGTGCAAGCCAGAGGGAAGGGGTACTGAGACCAGTGACTGCGCGGAGGTAAAAATAGGATTTTCTCAGGGGTCCACATTTGGACCACTTATGTGGAATTTTCTTTGAGAACGATGTGCCTCACGTAATATTAGAGTCTAATGCTTCAAAGTTAGTGGATGTCCATCAGGTCTACAGAGCAAAGAAAACAACTGAGACTGTAGAAATACGATCATGAGAGGATAAGAAAGTGGCACCAAGAAAAGCTATTGAGTAAAGTCATTTACAATTAAGATCAAGCTATGGTTGTGTAAAATGACTGGAATTCATAGGAAAATAGGAAAGTTGATCTAGGTATTTGAGGTGACAAAGTGAAACAAATACAGTCCATTAAAATCATTGGTGTAATCTTGACAGTAATTATAAGTGTTGCATGTTAGAAATACAGTAGTTAGGATGGTCTAACCTAAAATGTATTTTGTTGTAGCAAATCAAGGCTATTGTCGATGCTGGTGTTAACTGTATTGTAACTGGTGGCAAGGTCGCTGAGATGGCCCTTCACTTTTGTAACAAGTATAACATTTTAGTTGTCAGGTGTGTATAACTTCTTTTGAGTTATTATCCTGAAGCACAATGGACTCATGTTGATATCATTGTTTGCAGGCTAAATTCAAAGTTTGATTTGAGAAGACTCTGTCGATCAGTTGGAGCTACAATACTTCCCAAATTTGTAAGTTTGCATAATAGCTTTTTTTTATTCTCCCACCATTGGCTACCTCGATTTTCAGCCACTGATCTAAAAGTAAGTCCGAGACTGAAATCAAGAGAGCAGCGGAAGTTGAACTTACCAAGTTACATCAGAATGAAAATAGTCTTCGGGCAAGTTCCCCATTGGAGAAGAGTGCTGCTCCAATCTTTGGCAGCTTTCGCACCCGTTGCTTTCAATTGACGTTATTTTTCTTGTATGAAACTGGTTTCTTGTAGGGGGTGCTAAGTAAATTTGAGCAACGCTCAAAAAAATGTACTTCTGATACCTTTTATGAGACACTGGTTCTGTCATTTCTAGAAGGACCATTGATGTCATGAGACCTTGTTCCCAGATTCCCTCGTCTTCTTGTCCCACTAGTAGTAGTAGTAGTAGTAGTAGTAGCAGCAGCAGCAGCAGCAGCCGCGTCGTCGTCGTCGTCGTCGCCGCCACCGCCGCCGCCGCCGCCGCCGAGCTAATTTTCTGCTACTGCTACTGCTACTGCTACTGCTACTGTGCTACCACCGCCGCCGCCGCCGCCGGCGGCGGTGGTAGCACAGTAGCAGTAGCAGTAGCAGTAGTAGTAGCAGCAGTAACAGTAGTAATTATAATATCCCAGTAAGAAGAATTATCATTCAACAAGCAGCGTTAATCATTTTGTTGAACTGAGCTTAGTCTTCGAGGTCTTGTGAAAAATAGGGGGAAGACAGCACTAAAAATCATTGGTTACTGAATACTTGTGTCTCCCATCATTCCAGACAACTCCCACATCAGAGGAGATAGGTCACTGTGATGAAATCAAGGTGTCAGAGATTGGTGACACTTCGGTTACTATTTTTAAACAAGGTACTAAACTACTTAATATAGCGAAGTGGATTATTCTTGCAATCAAGAGATGATAAAGTTTAAGAGAATGAATCTCTCCTATTGGCCTTACATGATGATGCCGATTGATTTCGATTCGCCCGATGCGTATTTGTCGTCTTTAAACCTGAGGAAAGAAATAAGGGTGAAAATACAGTGAATGTACACATGGAATCCAAGCTTAACTAAAATAACATCTCCGATAAGTATGTTCTCCCTGTCTCGTTTGGGTGTTGTATCTCATTGGGCGAATCGACTTACGTCCGGCGGAACGCCGTCCGGCGAATTGACTTTCGGGCGAAAGGACCGCAATTTATACATCCACACCCACGCAAAAGGAGCATCTCAAGTCTCGTCGCCAGTCCTACTCATTTCATCTCCTGTAATCTTGTGTCTTAGAGCGCGAGGAGACGGCTGTATCTACTGTTGTAATCCGGGGTTCCACCGAGAATATCATGGACGATATTGAGCGAGCTGTTGATGATGGAGTGAACACGTTTAAAGCGCTCACCCGCGATGATCGCTTTGTACCAGGAGCTGGTGCCACGGAAATTGAACTGGCTAAGCAGATATCCAGCTTTGGAGAGGTACGTTGAGTTACAGGTCTTGACATATACCTATCAGTGTCACTCAGCTTTTGAATTCAAAGTCGCTGAGGCTTGGTAATTATATATGTGAAACGTTTAACTTTACTGCACACGCTTTTCCTTTGTTACAAAGAAAGATTTTAAAAGCCTGCTATTGGTTTCCTAACTGCAGTTGAACCTCCATGTGTGAAAAAGGCGCAGAAAAGGGGTTGGGGGAGGGGGGAAACACGAAAGGTAAAAAATCCCCTCTCCCCATTCCCTTCCCTATCCGGCGCCCGCCCTTTAGACGCCTACAAGTAGGTGACATGCGCCTCCTCTCCTAAGCGACCAGTTTGGATGGTGGCTGTGGAGAGTCTTGACCGTGTGAACTTGTATTGCGTACTAGCCGTTAACTGTTTTTCCTGTTTTCCGTCAGACTTGTGCAGGCCTTGAACAATATGCCATCGACAAATTTGCCGAATCCTTGGAGGTTATTCCCAGGACCCTCGCGGAAAATGCTGGTGTGAAGCCCACAGAGTTGATATCTAAGCTCAAAGCTGCCCACCAGGGTGGGGATAAAAATGCTGGCTTTGATAACGAGGTATAGTTGAAGTCCTTAATAACGTAATGTAAAATTTGATTTCAACACGGAGATAATGAGCAGAAAAATAGAACATAGCTTGAAAATCTTAGACGGTAGCCACAAAAATAAAATAAATGTTAGATAATACTAAAAATTTTCAATTCGATTTAAAAAAGAGAAGAAAACCAGATAAGAATATGCTTAGTATAGTGCACATGCTAAAAATTATATAGCTAAAAAATATATATTTACCAATCCTGAATCTAGTTGTTTGATAAAGTTTTGTTGTTTTGTTGCC